TCTTGGAACTGCTTGTTCATCTGATCTTTCAGAATCTCCACCTCCGATTGAGTTTGTTCCAACCTATCATCAATAGAACGAGAACGAGTGTCAGGTGGTGCCATGTTGAAGGATGAAAGCACTAATTGATAGGATGAATCCTATCTGGCAAGATGAGATGAGAAGAGAAGAGAGAATTTGGGGAAAAGAAGAAGGAAATTTTATTTCAACATTCAACAACCTTTACATCGGGTCTCTTTCCCTTTATACCAACATGCAACAATCTAATTGAAAGTATACAGACCTATACAGTATTCTCTACTATCCGTATACAAAATTGTCTTGTTGCCTCTAAACTCGCCAATCGTACCCTTCCTCTTCCAATCGTGATGGTCTCTTCCTTACTCTTCTAGATCTCCCATCCTCTTCCGTTAAGTCTCTGTCAGCTTCACTCAGCTCCTCTCTATTGTTAAGCACATCTGGTTGCATCCTTGGCTGAAGGTTCTCGATAGTACTTTGAGATGGTCCTTGGGCTTGGTTCTCCACTGTATTGGTTGCTGGATCCATAGCTAATTGGGCTGCTTGGTGGGCCTAGGCTCATATCAATCATCGTTAATCTATTGCCACTAACTTTGACGGGAAAAGCAATGCCTAGAGCCCCCGTGGCTTGACCAAACCAGATTTTAGCCATGTACCAAGGAGGTGATTGTTTTCGAGAATTCATCATTAGATAATATAATAAATATACTGGTAAAGCCAAAGGCACTCAGTTGAGTTCTGTTTGTTCATATGTTGATCAAAATGAAGAGGAGGAATAAATAACAAAATAGAAAAATATGATAAACCAGGAGGGTAATGAAAATTCCCAGAGTTGATGATTATAAATTTGATTTAGGATTCATAGAATATATATTCATTTTCGTGATCATGCCAAATCCATAACTGCACACATATCATGAAAAAAGCAGACCAGTGCTGATATATGTGTCTATTTTTTCAATCAGAAGGATTTCATAAAGTTAGTTTTAACACCATGAAATTATGGTTATGACTTATGAGCATCAACTGAAGTATGTTTGATTAACTAAATGCAAGAATCAACTAAGATTTAGGGTCTCAAGTTTTAATCAATTGAAACCAAAAAGTATAGCAATCACGTTCTAAAATATTGTAAGAAACTCTAAAGATATATCTAAGATATTCTAACAAGTAACAAGGTCATTAAGTGATTGATATACTAACCACCTCGACGTGATACAAGATGGATCCGAGAACGAGGTCCTTCAAACTTCCAGTTATCATCATCCAAGGATTTAACCTCCTTGTCAAGTGCAGCCATGAGATCTGATTTTAAAACTGCAAAAATAGGAAAACAGAATGTCTAAATGCATGCCTCGTGAACAAAAGAATGCATCATATTTTGGCTCCAAAACAACATAGAATGATGCTGCGCTCTACTGAAACCAAAGATTCATCTTGGCCCTTCAATATTTTGGTAACCATGATATAGTGAATTCAACATACAAGACAAGACAAAAAAGGCTTCACTGATATGAATCCTAACCAGAATACAATTCAAGGGTACATAATAGTTCTAACCTGAGAAACCCCAAAGAGAACATCAGAAAACAATTAATATATATTGAACGATAAAATCAATTAGCTGTTAACAATAATTGGAAGAAAACTTAAAAATTACAGTAATGGCAGCGGTTAATACTCTTGCGTTATATAACTGGAAAATCATAACAAATTAACAAGAAACAAAGTAAATTGAATAAACCTTACCTCGCATGGCCTCGTCCTTTCGCTCTTGCGTTGAGATGGGATTGCACGGGAAATTAAAATCGTCAACGGAAACGGCGGCGTTGCTGCTGCCGCCTCCTCCTCCTCCTCCACCACCACCTACAACCGCCGTAGTCGATATCGATGAATGAGCCGGGGATGAACTATTCATCGTTCCTCCAACCACTCAGTCGCTGTTTGTAACTTTGTATTAAGAGCCAAAATATTATTCGAAAGTCGGAACTCAGTGCTTTGGGTCTAAGTGCTTGATATTTGCGCTCATAAGCACTTTTTCATTTTCATTTTGTTTAGTAATTTACCTGGCCTATCAGCCAATGCATTGATTATGGGCCCAACGGAGAAGAGGTTTTTCCTACGAATTAATATTATATGTATATAATTATAATGTTAAAAATAATTTTCCTCTTTTCTTCACATCAATAGATAGTTTACGAAGAGAGAAAAAAATAATTTTTAAAATTATAATTATATATTACGAGTGGTACATAGTGTTAATTCGTTGGAGGAGAAAAAAATTTCTCCTACCACATGAGAGCTATATTTCTCATTTCAATCGTCAATCGATGAATTATTAGTCGAGCTATAATTTATTGAACTAGAACTATAATTTATACTTAAAAATTCGATAGGAAATCCATAACAAAGTTATTGAATTTATTATAAATCTTACACATCAAATTCTAAAAATTGTTAAAACTTGCAAAGTTGGGCAAAAAAATTAAAATAATGTAATTAATTAAAATAATTACGCATTTAATGCTGTTTTGTTAAAAATTACATATCTGTTGCACAATGAGACGCTCTCTTTGGGCGTCACATGTGACGCCCAAAGAGGGCGTCTCATGTGCAACCTATATATACCCCACTTTCCTTTTTTCACTCCTTACTCATTTACCTCTCTAACCTCTCTTCAACCTCTCTCTAACCTCTCTCTAACCGCGGTTCGTAGCGAAGCTCTGCCAACGTAGGTAAGGTCATAATACCTCATATGTATACATTTAAATTACAGTGCTAGTTAGTAATACATGTTAGGATTGATTGTATATTAGAGACTTGGAACATTAGGATAGTCACTTAGAAATTTTGTGTCATGCTATGAATGTTGTAATGATTTAGTAATATTATTATTACGTAGTTATTATTATTACCGATTTTTAATTATGTATTAGGGTTTAGCATATTAATTAGTGATTTATAAATAGTGTTAGAGACTTTGTAAATTTCGTATGTATGATGTTATTAATGCGGGAGTGCATAACTTTGTAGTTAGTTGAGGATAATGGTTGAGTCATCATCTTCTTCGGGATCTGATTCGGATGTAGAGCCCACCGATCCCAGCATGTGGATCATACATGGACCGTACAGGTGGGAGGTCCTTCGTCAGAGGACGCAGAAAGGTCATATTTCACATCGAGTGTGGAATACTTAGCATGTAAGAAAGATTAAGACTAGGCGTGGGAAGCCACAAGGGGGCCCACCTACCGGTGCTATTCCACAGGTTGTGGAAGAGTACCTCAGACAGGCGGGTTTCATACATGTTGCCAGGATGCAACATATCCAGGTATGTTATTTATGTCGTTTTGTATTTATGTAATTATTTAATAAAATTCGTTAACACGTGATAACTGCGTAATTTATCACAGATAGATACATTTTTAATTAGTGCTCTGGTCGAGAGGTGGAGACCAGAGACACATACCTTTCACATGACCCAAGGTGAGATGACGATCACCTTACAAGATGTGGCAGGCATCTTGGGCTTGCCGACCGACGGTACTGTCGTCATCGGATCGACCTCTGAGGATTGGCACGCTGCTTGTGCTGCTGTTTTTGGACATGTTCCAGAGGCCGGTGAGTTCCATCATTCTGGCGACCTCCGCATCTCATTCTTGGATCGACATTATACCCGGTGGACTGATCATGAAGGGAATCATGTTGCCGAGATCTACTTCACAAAAGCCCACATTGCCCGAATGTTAGGGACTTGGTTGCTGGCGGACAAGTCTGGAGGTAGCAATTTTGGTTGCCGGCTTGTCCCGTTGCTAGGTGGAGGATTTGAGGACATTGGCCGACTCAGCTGGGGATCTGCAGTTTTGACACACTTGTTCAGGAATTTGTGTGAAGTGACAGATGCTCGTCGAAGCGACATGGGTGGTTGCCATATTCTCCTTCAAATTTGGGCATGGATACGATTCCCACCCATTGCTCCACCCCTTCCTCCACACTCTGCCTAACACTTAACGCAGCAGCAACGACGTGACTACATGGATACTTAAAGGCCTTAAACTTTCCACACTGACAGTACCTCTGTGGGAGGTTGACAGAATATGAACGTTCCCAACCTGCGTCAACCTCGAATACAGTATGTTCAACATTGTATGCACGAACGTGGTGGCCTGTTGCATCTACCTGGTTCTTCTTGACCAATTCAACAACATGTTTGGAGTGACGATGAGCTGATTGAAGTTGTGCAAGAGCATTTGTTCCTCTCTCAACAAAATATGCAACCAATCTGCTATATGTATGCTTAACCAATGCTGTTATAGGCATATTTCTGGCCCCCTTCAAAACCCTATTGACAGATTCAGCCAAATTTGTTGTCATATGACCGTACCTCCGTCCTTCAATATCGTAGGCACGCGACCACTTTTCCTTAGGAATCGCATCTATCCGCTCAGCAATTTGAGGACTACTTTCACGGAAACTCGCAAGATTCCTTTCAAAATCAACCATTGTTGGAGTATAACCTGCACAAATTGGACATAAACGAATTAAGCATAAATTGACAATCATGATGGAAAGAAATAATTACGCATTCAGTCAATGAGTATACCTAAATTCTTTAACATCCGCTTCAAATCTTCATTTCGAAACTTTTGATTGAAGTTGCTTGCAATATGACGAATACAGAATACGTGATACGCATTTGGCGGCTGCCAAGTAGGGTTATTTTCCACAGCAGATATTATGCTTCGATGCCGATCGGATATCAAACATATGTTTGACATCGTAGTCACATGAGCACGAATATTAACGAGAAAATAATCCTATGCTTCCAAAGTTTCGCCTTCTACGATGGCAAATGCGATCGGTAAACATTCATTATTACCATCTTGGGCTATGGCCACCAACAATTTCCCTTTGTACTTTCCATATAAATGTGTTCCATCAATTTGGATGACGGGTTTGGCAAATTTGAACGCCTCACAACACTGTCTAAACGTCCAAAAAATACGATGAAAAACCTTTTTTCCAGAAACTAAGCTCTGCTCGGCATAAAGATCATTAGTTTGTATATGATAAAATGAACCTGGAGAAAAGCGAAGCATGTATTCGCACCACCTTGGTAAAAAAGCATACGATTCCTCCCAATCACCGTACAGAATTGCCATCGCTTTCTGCTTCGCATACCACACCTTTCTGTAGGAAACTTGAAAGCCATATTTAGCAGTTATCCTTTCTTGCACCAAAGAGATTGACACAGATGGTTCAGACTTTATCATCCCTGCATTGAAGAGGATATCAGTGCCTCGATAACATCGAACGAATTTAATTACACATTTGTGTTCAATCACACATCTAAAATACAAAAAGGTACCTATCACGAGATCTGCAATAACGTCCGCATCGAGCTGTCTATGACCCTGGGAAATGTGCTCATTCACACATTCGTGTTTTTCACCTCATCTCGTTATTTTCCAATTTTCACGAAACACCGGTTTAATCGCCCTTACGCGCCACGGACAACCTTGATCGTACGCACAACATTTCATGGACAACTTTGCAGGCGTGCTCTCAATTACAATGGCTCCTCGATGCTCCCTAATAAGGTTGTGCTTAAGTGCCATTTGGACATCATTTTTTGTCGCAAATTCTTGATTGACAAATAACATGTCACCCAGTTGCCACGGACCTTGTATTGAAGCCGATCCAGACACCGAACCATCAGTACATGATTCTTGTTCGCTCTGATAACTCCAATCAATGTAAGAATAATGCGGAATTCCTTCCCAAAAAGGAATAACATCTGTGTCACCTGCAATTGCGGATTATAATTTTTTAATACGAACTTACTAATTCAGGTATTAAATCAGTTATTTATTCACGCAGTATACAAATGGGAACAATTACCTTCTTGTGGAATACCAAACGGAGCAGACGCAATGTCATTCAACTGCGGCATTTGCGCGATGACTGGTTGATGGAATATTGGAATTTCAGACGCACCCATCTCACGAGATCCATCTTCTTCTGAAGCACTAGCATCCTCCGCCAGAAGATGTTCTTCCATTGCCATATTTTCATCGTCATCTTCGTCGTGCATTTCCCAAGTCGGATCATTTTCATCTCCTTCAGAAAAGTTACCAACTGGAGACGCATGAGCGGCAGGAGAAGCTGGAAGACGGGGAGAATTTAAATAAACTGACATCACCGGTATGGGAGCATTCTCCGTTGCGACGATGTCGACATACAACTCTAGAAAATCTGTCCTTGACTGGTTGCAAAATTCTTCCATTGTCATCTCCAAGTCTTCATCGTCAAGCACTTTCAAACTAATGTATTTATCACATTGCCACACCCTTGTCGTGATCTCAGTGATACATTGGTTGTCTTGAAGACTTAACTTCTGCCGAATTCTCTGATGCAGTTCGCCAATGGTTGTGTTGCGTTGGATACGTGTCGGCCTTTTTTCACCTTCGAATATGAAACCTCGTCGACCTTCTACCTTCCTACCATTGTAATATAACACAACACGAACAGAATCAGGATTTGAGCTCATTTTTAAAAAGAATTACAACTAAAATTCAAATACTAAATTAAAGATAAAGGAATGTTGGTGGAGAAGAGAGATATGAAGAGTGAGAGAAGAGGTGTGAATTGAATGGAAGGGGTGAGGAAATATATAGAGCACACATGTGACGCTAGTTTTGGGCGTCACATGTGACGCCCCATTGGGGCGTCTCTCCCATGGATAAGACACCCCAATGGGGCGTCACATGTGACGCCCAAAACTAGCGTCACATTGTGCAGTAGATGTGTAATTTTTTACGAAACAACATTAAATGCGTAATTATTTAATTTAAATGCATTATTTTAATTTTTTTGCCTGCAAAGTTGTAAACTAGATTCAAGACACACAAAATGTTGATACAGACAATTTCTAATATGATCATCTTGACTACACAAGTCCACACTTAAGAATTTGGAGTTTTTAAAAAAAATATTTTAAAATTATTGGAACAAATATTTGTCATATTAAATGATAGTTATTTTTATTAAAATCACTATTTGTTATTTAATATTTAAATTAAAAAGTCACTTATTTTTCCCACTATGATTTCAACTGTGTAACTAATTTTCTCACTATAAAACACACACTAGTTTTGGATTTTCTCCCATTTTAAAAGGGCAAAACACTAATCCCAAAATTATTTCATTAAAAATCCACACATGAATTTTCTACAATTCAAGACAAGACACACCAAAAAATATTTTATTAAGAATTCATTTTTAAATTTTATATAAAAATAAAGAATATAAAATTTTAAAAAATGAAAACCAAGAACACGTTGGTCCTAATATTGAAGTGGTGCTTGTAAACAGTGCGGAAAAAAAATGATAGTTTTGGAACAAGATGAGACTAAAGAGGCATTATCGTAGTTGGAACTAGGGGTGTAAATGGGCTGGGCTGGGCTTTGGCCATTCTAGCCCAAGCCTAAGTCAAAAAAAATTCAGCCTATCTGGCCTACTGGCCTATTAAAGGCTTTATTTGTAGGCCAAGCCCAGCCCATTTTCAAAAATAAGAAAGCCTGACATGGCCTACAGGCCTTGTAGGCCTCCCACAATATATACTAAGCAAAAAAAATAATTGTATAGAGCAAAGAAAGTTCCATTCATGCATGCACTAGTACTTCTCATAAGAAAAAAATGACAAACAAGAAAGAGTCAACATAATACCTCAACTCTAGAATGTATATCATAGAGGAATAAAGTCAAAGAAATGGGAAAAATAAGAAAAATACAATTACTGGATGCTGAAATAAAGTCTACAAGAGAATGTCATTCATCTAAAAATCTTTAAACCACCATTAAGACAAGGGAAAGAAGAGTATTATTGAAAGATCTTCATCAGTAACATCATAATCCAGCAAGGTACTCATTGCTCCATGGTATTAAGTTGCAACAGCATGTAAAATTTGGAGACATTAGACAAGTTTTCCTTTCATAAAATAAAATAGCACAAAAAGTAAGAGATATTGGTATTTGGTACTTTGTGTCTTTGCCACATAAAATAAATATTATTTTATTATTTTATTTTAATAAATTAAATAGGCCAGCCTACAAGGCTGTAGGCCGGGCTTGACAAATTTGGCCTATGGCCTATTTATTAAAAAAGCTTTTTTATAAGCTTAAGTCTACTCTACTTTTCTGAAAGGCCGGGCCTGATCTGCGCTCAATGTAGGCCGGGCAGTAGGCTGGGCTGGGCCAGCCTGGCCCATTTACACCCCTAGTTGGAACCAATCTCCAAGGCAGCAAGGTGGAGAGGCTCGAGCTCATAGCTAATGACTTTGTGGAAGATTGAAGAAGGAAAGTGTTGGAGTAAGTGGTGGAATCAATGATTGCGAGTAAGGATTTGGTTTAGGAAGAATTCTGATTTTGAAATTTTATGAACAAAAGGATTTTTTTTTAAATGCAGGACCGGTCGATTTCTCCGCGACCCGACTAGGTCACCAATTTTGATAAAATCCAACTAGTTCAAACCGATTTTCACTATGTCATTAAATGACCAGTCTACTACTTGACTCATATCGATAAATCATCAATTCACCGAATTTCGTGTCGACTCAGTCGATTCAAGCCAGATTTGATAACACCGCAAACAATGTCTTGTAATCTCATTACTGAATATCCAAGTATGGGTTAGGGTAAAATATTTTTTATCAATTGAATTAATAAATGTTAGTTGTATTTTTTCTTATTTCAGCTACAATTTTAAAATATATAAATGAAAAGAGAAAATGTATTTAATATATATATATATATATATATAATTTTAAAAAGGAGAAATTAAAAATGAAAATGACATATATTATTCTTGACGGGAGAATAATAAAAAGTTGAGTGTCTTATCACTCCTAATTATTTACTGTCACACTCTATAACTAATTTTTAATTTCATATTTCTAAAATATCCTTTATTTAATAATTAGCCTAAAGCTTGACTTAAATATTTAGCAAAAGGGATTTTAGAAAAATATAAAAAATAGTAAAAGTGCTACTATATTAACAAAATAAAATAACAATAAAAGAAAACATTTGTCATTCTTCTTCAAGGAATTTATTATCAATGTTAATTTCTTTTTCTTTTTTTGAATTTAAAGGTTATTTTAGTCTGATTATGTATTTTTATAAAAAAGATATATATATATATATATATATATATATATATATATATATATATTTGTAGGCTTTTTCACCCTTTTGCCCCTCATTAATTATTTAATAACTATTTTACCCTTTATTGCAAACTATCTACCAATCTGTCCCTCTTTAATCGATTAAATTGAATATTTAATCGATTAAATGGTCAAATGAAGATTTAATCGATTAAATCTTCAACTTAATCGATTAAATCTTCCTCTTTATCAGAAGAACAACCTTATGCATGGGAGATTTAATCGATTAAATAGGGAGATTTAATCGATTAAATCTTCAACTCAACGATTTTTGCCTATTTTGACCATTTAATCGATTAAATTTTTGGCTTAATCGATTAAAGAGGGGCAGATTGATAGATAGTTCTGAATAAGGGGCAAAATGGTTATTAAATAATTAATGAGGGGCAAAAGGATGAAAAAACCTATATTTGTACCCCAAAAAAAGAATATATATATATTCTCTTTTGATTTATAATTTATTAAAATTCTCACAAAATTTGAAAAAATTCATATGTAATGTACAAAATACTCACCGATACTTGGTCTTGTGACTCTTTAATCATTTATCCGGTGTGCGTAGCATATATGTTCCATCACTGCTTCAAAATATTTGCTATTTATTTTCTTGTGAAAAATTGGTGACGCATATATTAGTTAGTACTTCCTAAGGGATTTTATTGCTATGGTTTCCTGGGAGTTGTTTGCTTGGTCATTCACTTTCAAGTGAGGTCAGTAAAATATTACTTGTTTATTGACGAACCTGGAAAATGTGTGTAATGGCGGTGCATAATTTACAATTTATAGTCATATGCTTCTTCTTGCTATTTTTTTTTTCTTCTTTTATAAATAGTTCATGATTTGACTTTTCTATTAAGTTTTTAACGTAGTTATATATACAAGGCTAAACTTGACTACTAATTTAACCCCAATGAAACTAGGCTTCGCAAAATGGGCCAACTCATCGAGTTGGCTCGTAACTTGACTAAAATGAGTCGGGTTGGATTAGGGAAAATGAGTTAGTAACTCGAGTCAACCCGACTCGTTTCAGCTCGAAAAAAACCGAGCCAACCCACGGGTCAAACAGGTTGGCTCGCGGGTTATGATTTAAAAAAAAAAGTATAAAAATTAATGAATGTTAAGTGGAAAACTAAAACCTAAAATTTCAATTATAAAGACCCAAACAAAAATATGTTGCAGCTGCTAATAAGTCTAAAATAGTGCATTAAGGATCTTTTTTATAGTATGTGTGACAGTGTGAATGTGGTGCCAACTGCCAATAAGTCCAAATCCAAATGCAAAAAGAATTTTCTATGATTTATCTGTAAATGTTTTTGTATTGAATGAATTAATAATTTAGGAAAAAAATTTAGAAGTTATAGCATAAATGGAATTTTATTTTTTTTCCATTTCTTCGAGCCAACCCTAACCCGACTCGGGTCGGGTTGGGTTGAGTTTTCTGGCTCGTTTATTTTTCGAGTTAACCCTAACCTGGCTCGTTTTTTTCGGTTTGAACGCGAGTTGGGTCGAGTTGAGGTGGGTTGACCCATTTTGCCAACCCTAAATGAAACTAGCCTACATGTGGTTCGCGAGCCAACCCATTTGACCCGTGGGTTGGCTCACGAAAGTAGCTGTACTTGGCCATGGAAATGGTGGCATAGTCTATAAAGTTCATCACAAGAAGAACAATTCCATTTATGCATGAAGGTCCTACGCTTCAATCAGAATGCCATTGGCATCCGTTAACCCGCTACACTCGAGGCTGAGATTCTTAAACGAGTGGATTCCCCTTATATAGTAAAGTGTCATGCAGTTTTTGATAATGGTGCATTGAGTGGTGATGCAGGTCATATTAGCTTTGTTATGGAATACATGGAAGGAGGATCGTTGCATGATGTGTTGAAAGAACACTAGACTCCCCGAGGAGGTGATTTCTGTCTTGGCTAACCGTGTGTTGGAAGGGCTGAACTATTTGCATGGCATGCACATTGTACATAGAGATATTAAACCCTCAAACTTTCTTGTGAATGACAAGGGTGAGGTGAAGATTGCAGACTTTGGAGTCAGTCACGTGGTGGAAGGAAGGTTAGAGGAAACTAACTCCAACGCTGGTACATGTGCCTACAAGACAAGAGAACAATAGCCTGACGAAGAGGTTAGTCACCAAAAAGAATCCATTGTTGATTTGATATATTGATATAGTGAATACCCAGTCTATTCAATGCCAGGCATAACGAGTATAAGGACTCCAAAAAAGTCTCTTTTCCTCCTATCTTACGAACTTTAAGGTGTATGAAGTTTCATTTCTTATTACTTTAGTTTAAGTAGGTAGATAAAGAGTCCATTTAACTTAAGTTGATCTAGGCCAAAAGCAGACCTATGTCAGGTGTAGGCACATGTACCAGCGTTGGAGTCAGTTTCCTCTAACCTTCCTTCCACCACATGACTAACTCCAAAATCTGAAATCTTCACCTCTCCCTTGTCATTCACAAGCAAGTTTGAGGGTTTAATATATCTATGCACAATGTGCATGCCGTGCAAATAGTTCAGCCCTTCCAACACACGGTTAGCCAAGACAGAAATCACCCTCTCGGGGAGTCTATGGTGTTCTCTCAACACATCATGCAACGATCCTCCTTCCATGTATTCCATAACAAAGCTAATATGACCTGCATCACTTCTCAATGCACCTTTATCAAAAACTGCATGACACTTTACTATATAAGGGGAATCCACTCGTTTAAGAATCTCAGCCTCGAGTGTAGCGGGTTGACGGATGCCAATGGAATTCTGATTGAAGCGTAGGACCTTTAATGCATAAAGGGAATTGTTCTTCTTGTGATGAACTTTATAGACTATGCCACCATTGCCATGGCCGAGTACAACTATTTTCTTTACGGTAAATATAAAGGGACATTATTGATTGCCACAGCCTAAGATTGAAACAATGAAGTGCTACCCATTGCATTTGCGGTTGTTGAAAGTGAAAGCAAAGAATCATGGGAATACTTTTTGTCATCCATCAGACTGTATGTTACAAACAAGACTGGTTTATGCCTTATTTTCGATCGACACAAAGGAATTATATCAGCGGTCAACAATGAGGATATTGGTTGGCAACCTCCTAATGCGTACCATGTGTTTTGCCTTCGTCATGTAGGGAGCAATTTTAATACATGTTTCAAAGACCAATACTTGAAAGGTTTTCTAAAAAAACTAGGTAATGTTGTGGATAAATTTATTGCATGTGGCATTTATAAATTTCGTACGTGTTTTCCTAATGTTGTGAACTTTCATTATTTTTGCAGGATATATTTCAAATAAAATATACTTTGATGCTATGTATGCTGAGTTTTGTAGCATTAGTCCTGATGTTGCTGCATGGATTGAGGCAATTCCAAAAGAGAAATGGTCTCGAAGTTATGATGAGTGTGGACGAAGATACGGGCATATGACAACTAATCTGTTTGAATCGGTTAATAGGGTTTTTAAGGGAGCAAGGAACATGCCAATTACTACCTTGGTCAAATGCACTTATAGTCGACTCGCTCGGTACTTTTTCAAAAGGGGGTGTAAAGCTCAAAAAGATGCGGAGGCTGGTAAACAATTCTCGAAAGTGATCAGTGAAGCCATGACAAGGAATGGCGAGAAGGCAACTACCATGCGTGTAAGGGAGTATAATGTGGAACGTACCACTTTTGAAGTTGAAGACCAGGACAACACATTCTGGGTTCACCTGAGTGAAGGGAAATGCAGTGTGGTAAGTTCCAGGCATTCAAAATCCCATGTAGCCATGTTATTGCAACATGTAAGAAGGTGTCCCACGATGTTAACCAGTATGTTGACTCGATGTTCTCTGTGTAAAATATTATGCAAGTGTACTCTTCACCATTTCAACCAATTGGGAGTGAAGAGGGTATACCTCCCAACCAAGGACCAAAGATTATCCCTGATGTCTCTTTGCAACGTGGGAAAGGACGTCCAAAATCTACACGCATTCGTAATGAAATGGACGAAGTCGAGGTCCAACCTTGCTCCAGCCGAACTAGATGCAGTATATGTAAACAATGTGGATATAATAGGCGTTCATGTCTTACTAAAAGCATAGCCAATTAACGTGCGCTGTTAATTTGTGTTAATTTGGTTTAATTCCCTTTTTGTTTCACTCTATGTTGTACTTGAATTTAAGTGTTTCTAATAATTTCAGTTAATTTGTGTTTCTGATAATTTGGGTTAATTTGTGTGTTTGATAATTTGTGTTCTCTTTCCTTTGTGGTTATTTGGAAAAATGGACAGCATTTCTGATAAAAAACAGACAGCATAACATCTAAAAATTGGATTCTCCTGCGCTATATTGTACCTGATATGCAATGAATATCAATCCATAAGATAAACAAAACTCCAAACCACGACAGTCATCCATAATATCAATAATACTGTTAATTGCTAAATACAGTCATCCATAATAATAACACAAGAGTTATACAGTCGCACACGAATACATGAAAACATAAAAACAGTAATGATGTCAACATGAAGATGGACAAGCTACGATGGTGGAGTATAAGTCGGCCACTGTCTCGTACGGGCATCACGCTTAGGGTTCCTGTGGATACCACCACCATCTCTATGTGCACCAGGATTGTGCCTAATGTTGAAATCTTCGGTGGCTGCCTGTAAAAGGTCATCATGTGTGTCCTGTGTATCTTATGCTGAATCATGTGGGCTGCACGAAGATTGTGATGTATCCCCAGTAACGGGCCCTACCACAGGTTCATTGCTCAACTGTGGGGCCTGATATGCTCCGAAGGCTGAAAATCCGTGTGCAAGATGGTAATTGCTAAACCCAGAAACTGGTGGGGTTCGCGTACTTTGTGAACTCGTCCCCTGATCAATCTGTGTGCTCATCCACTAATACTGTGAAAGAAAACCGCTTTGTGTGTGTCCATACATGTGTGGATCATACCCGGAAGTCATATCTGGATATGGATGTAGAAGCATATGTGAAGGCATCTGTATGGGCATGTGTACAGGCATATGTGAAGGCATTTGTACAGGCATCTGGGTAGGCATCTGTACAGGCAACTGGGTAGGCATCTGCGTGGGCATCGGTGGGAGCATATGTGGAGGAAACCAATCAATAGGAGTAAAGGCCATAGTCGGCCACATGGGTGGTCTATAAACACCTCTGCCTCGTGGACCAAGATCTGGGATCTCATATGTCTGCTGCTGAATCTGCGGTTGTTTACCACAAATTCCCCGACCTTTCTTCGCATGCGGCGGTACCTTTAACACGGGATCTGGCACACCAACTAGTAGTCCCGTTGGTGCGGTAGGACCAGGCTCGGCAACCCGTCCGAACTCTCGTAATGCACGTAGTAACTGGTCACAAATCGCTTGCACTAGTCATAATCGCACTGCGCACGCATCTGTGGAAAATTCATCCACCATACCCACTCAACCCCATCAACCTGTAATTATAACATAAACCAAAGTCATACATTATTTGTATAGATATAAATACTTCTACAATTTATGAATTACCATATAAAATATGTAGGCTTACAATTACAACATTGATACATACCACATGGCCAATCTTGACGACTTGCCTTGTCATAAACCGTCGAGTGTGAAGAACTTTTTCATATATTCAAAGTTCGGGGACATGAGCCCCTGCCACACATCTGTAGTCTCAATGCGTTCATTTATGGTGTTCCACAATTGTATGTGTGAGGCCATCTTCGCTTCCCAATTCTCAGTGATCTTTCCACGTAGGGTAAAATCATGTGCCCCTCGCAGCTGTCCAGCAGGTCCAGGAATGTGTTGTTACATACCAAATTGCCTCATACAATGATCAGGCTGGTGCATCTCCACAATATGAAAAGCAAGTATAGGTGTCATCGCCCTCCACGTGTTTTGCATGTCAGGATCTGCACCGAGAAACTGATAACCAACATCCTTGTATGGCTCCCACACAACCTGTTATACGAACAACAATGATAATCATGTTCACATAGTTTATCACAATAGTAAAGACAAACCAATGACGAATAAACATTCTTACATTATCCCGACCCATCTGGTCAAGCTCTATATGGTAATCCCTCAACTGAAATCGGTGTGACTGTAACTCCACATTATTGAGACTACAAAATTATACACATAAAGAAATACATGTTAATGATAGGAAAAATATAAAAAACAAAGTCTCTCATAGGAAGTATGTAAACAAGATCCATACCGACGTCCGTAATGATCGGCTGCATCTTCGGCCAGAGTAATAGGCGGTGATATGGTACGAAATCTGGACCATGCCCATATCTGCAACAATAGTGTACATCCCCCAACGTCTTTTGCTGAAGAAGACGGGGCATGACATAGCTCGCGAAATAGTGTAGCTAGTACAGCTGACCCCCAGCTGTATGTACGACAATCCTCAAAGTCCCCGCCTAACAATTGTATGAATCGACAACCAACAACCAAACTCGATTTGTCACACAGCAAAAAACCTCCTAATAGACGCATAAGATAAGCATGCACGTAAATTAGCTGACCCTCTGGGGTACCTACGTGCTCGACCCAATGATGGGTCCACCAACTCATCTTTATATTACCGCCATCCAAATCCTGAGCCCGAGGCCTCACTCCCATGTAGTGCTGGATTACCTCTGGCCACTTGCCATGCGTATAACCAGATACCGCTCGCCCCAGAATAGCCTCCACATCCTGTAAAGTAATTATCATATCTCCAACAGGCATGTGGAAAGTGTGAGTCTCCGGCCTCCACCTCTCAACCAATGCAGTAATCAGACGATGGTCAATCTGCCAACATAAAATAAATGAACAAAATATAGAGGAAATATATTATTGGTAAAATATTACACTTAATTTACAACAATGGCATTGAAAACTAAAACATACCGGTAATCGTCTCATACGTGTCGCATGCCAGAAACCTGCACGCATCATATGTTGCTGCAAGTCAAGTGAGAAGTTATCTGGGTCATGGACATCTCTATTGTCTCCCTTACCCTCCGAGGATCGCCCCAAGAGACTTAAGATGCCCGTCGTTTCACACGACTTGCGATCTATGTGATTGTTGCACGTTCTCATCCAATACGCCTCACTCTCTGGGACCGGGGTCAATGCAGGGGCGATCACTAGCCATAACCCTAACAAAAATTTAAAATTAAATTCAACAAGTGAAACACTATATCAGTATAAAACGAATTATTCTTGCATTTAATAAATCATACTACAAAGTTAATTACAACAGTAAATATTAAATAATTCACTAACTATTTACAATTTTCATCACTAATTAAATATGATCACCCTTATTCTAAACACTAATTAAAAAAGGAAAAAATTTATTTTTAAATTGCCTCATTACGACTATGCTTAATATTTAATTAAAACAATGACTGTAATTAAAGTTTAATGATAACATTAATTATTTTATTAAAAAAAATTATGTATTATCAATTTAGATACAATTTAATTAATATTAATTTAAATCATTAATATTCATTTCTGTTTAATCATTTCACTAACAATTAATCTATTTAACTAAGTAGGTACTTTTGTTAGGCTTTTTCACCCTTTTACCCCTTATTAATTAATTAATAACCATTTTGCTCCTGATTCGAAACTATCTACCAATCTGCCCCTCTTTAATCGACTACCTTGCATTTTTAGTCGATTAAATAGTCAAAACAGGCAAAAATGACTGTTGGGAGATTTAGTCTAAATCTCCCTATTTAGTCGACTAATTCTCCCAACAGACAACAAAGGAAAACAAGTCAGTATGATTTTTTAATCGATTAAGTAGGGAGATTTAGTCGATTAAATCTCCCAACAACCTTGTAGTCGATTAAAGAGGGGCAGATTGATAGATAGTTTCGAATCAGGGACAAAATGATTATTAATTAATTAATAAGGGACAAAATGGTCAAAATGCCACTTTTGTTAAGTATTCATAACATATAACAACTAAATTGAGTATAACAAAAATCACAAAACAATTTAAATTACTGAATTGCAACTGTTTATTGAATTGGTTTCTTTGTTAAGTTTCATTAATTAATTTTACTAAATTATTTAAAATAATGATTACAAATCAATTATAATTCGTGGATTACATAATCTAAAGTCTAAACCGCAAATACAAAATGAATGGATCAATTCTAAAGGCTAATTGAATTTATCTAATAAATAAAACTTAAATCATAAAAAAAAACTACAACATTTGTATTAATTATTTTCCTAATTACAAATTCATTACTTTACTAACTAAATTTCATCACTACGGTTAACATAAATTTATTGAATTAGTTTCTTTCTTAGAGTTTCATTAATTTCATTTATTAAATTAATTAAAATAATGATTACAAATTAATTATAATCGGTGGATTACATATTCTAAACCGTAAATAGAAAATGAATGGATCAAAGGGTTCAACCATTGTAAAGGCTAATTGAATTTATCTATTAAATAAAACTTAAATTATAAAAAAAAACCTACAACATCTCTATTAATTATTTTCCTAATTACAAATTCATTACTTTACTAACTAAATTTTATCACTACGGTTAGAATAAATTTATTCAATTGGTTTCTTTCTTACAGTTTCATTAATTGCATTATTAAATTAATTAAAATGATTATTACAAATTAATTACAATTCGTGGAATATATATTCCATACACACAAAAATGCAGACAACCACGACAGGGGGTTTGATAATTTTACAACTTAATGAAATTTATCAAATTATTAAAACAGTAATTAATAAATAATTTAAACTATTTCTAAAGTTTGAATAATTATTAATTATAGGCACAATTTTAAATTAATAAAAACTTTAATTACAAAATACTCAGTCCACTACTAAAATACGATAATTAAAAATTAAAATATAAATTAATATACAAATTTTTTTTGCATGCAGACCTGATGAAAATGGAGGTACGAGGGAGCTAAGATCTATCGGTTGGGGACTTTCCACACACCAAAGCAGAGACCGGAGGATGACCGGAGTCAAAGTTGTAAAAGGAAATGACCGTAGACGAAACGACAGGAGACGAAGATGGAGAGGCTGGAAAAGAGGGAGGGGGAAGGAGATGATGCCGGAGGGATGGGAAAAAAGATGAAGCCAGAAGGAGGGGAAGGAGATGAAGAGTGAGACTGAGACGAAGACGGACACATGGAGGGGGAGCTGATTTTGGAGGATGGTAGAAGACTCCTGTCATAGCAGGTTATGGGACTGTTGTGGTCAGGGAAGACTGGCACGTCAGTGGAACCCGTCAACCTCAGTGGCAGGACAGAGCTTGAAGACGTCAACTTATGTGACAGGTTTAGAGCATGACGTCAGGCTATGTAACAGGATTATAGCAGCATCTGAGGTGGCAGTTTGTCGCGGCATGCACGGTGGCAGGACTGGTGTCGTCATGGTCTCCGACGCGTTTAACTGCTATACTCTCGTATTGTTGGGAAATTCGTTCCCTCAAACTCCAATGTCAAGCGGGTCCAGGGGAAGCCCGTGGCGGGGGACCACCACCAATGAGCTAAGGCTACACCAACCGTAGCAAGTGGATCCGACACCATGTCTCAACCCAAAACCTTAAGGCATTGGGTTCATGGGTCCTTTCACTTATATACTATTCACTTAGCTCATTATCAACCAATGTGAGACTCATCACACTTGAATATCTCAACAATCTCCCCCTCAAGTGTGAAACCCACCATTGGTATGCTCCCCCTCAACCGAGTACCCGAAGCGCAAAGTACTCGACCCGCCTCCTAGCCAATCACTAGGCTAGCTCGAGCCCAATCCGGCTCTGATACCACTGTTGGGAAATTCGTTCCCTCAAACTCCAATGTCAAGCGGGTCCAGGGGAAGCCCGTGGCGGGGAACCACCACCAATGAGCTAAGGCTACACCAACCGTAGCAAGTGGATCCGACACCATGTCTCAACCCAAAACCTTAAGGCATTGGGTTCATGGGTCCTTTCACTTATATACTCTTCACTTAACCCTAATTTCCACCTCCTCTATATATACTCATTAGTTGTGGGTGGAGGCTAGGTCAGATTTGAGAAAACAAATTCGAGAGAAAAATTATTTGATTGTTTGAGTAAAGCTTTATGCTTTGCATTTGAGAGATCTCTAGAGAGAGTTTGAGTGAAACATCTCTAGGGTAGTTTGATTATCACAATTGTTGGAGAAGTTGAGTTAACCACCACATTGGTGTATTTGATTCTTTGTAACTATTATTTTCATAGTGGATTTTTGATCTGGACTAGGTCCCGTGGGTTTTTACTTATTCGTTGAAGAAAGTTTTCCCACGTTAAATCCGGTTGTGTTCTTCTTCTCTCTCGTGTTTTTGTTTTGATTTTTTCCACTGCGCTACCCAACACGTATTACTCTCCAGATCAGCTTCCACTTGGAATAACATCCAAGTATTCTTCGTACTATGGTCGTTTTGCCTAGCATTTTATTATTAAATTTTGATGTTTAGGAAGTTAGTTTTCCCTGTCTCTGTTTAAGTAGCATGTAGAATGTCGTGTCTTTTTTCATTAACTTATCTTACAAAAAAAATATTTTCCTATTAATTAATTCATATACATAATTATTCTTTCTTGCATGTGTGCACATACACATGTATATGTACGTATGTGTATATGCACGCTCACGCACGTACATATACACCCACTATGCATATGTGTGTGTGCGCACACACAAATATTCATTACATACACTATATTAAAGTATAGCATTTTGAAAATTCAAAATTCAAATCAAATACTATATTCACGCGCACACACATCCTTTTACATACACTATATTAAGGTATGACATTTTGAAAATTCAAAATTCATTACATATACTATATTCACACACATATTCATTACATACACTATATTAACAGATATTAATTACATACATTATATTAAGATATGACATTTTGAAAATTCAAAATTAGATGGTGATATGCTCACACGTATATTATACAAAATATATGTCAACTGATTCGTGCGTTGCACAACCAAAACGCTCACGGGATCTGTTTAAAAGAAAAAAATCATAGTTGACCATTCAGACCAGGCTACACCGCTATACACGCAGACGCAGCAAGAGATTATGTGATCTTGACTCTTGAGAACGATTCATGTACCTATTAAGAAATCAATTAAAAAAAAAAAAAATCTAAAGCCACCGTTTGTTTTCATCCATTCTGCCGTGCTAATCCCTTTTGTCGAAGTTATAAAATTTGAAATGGATTACATATGCTGAAAATGATAAATTGATGTTTTCAATAGAGATATAAATTTATTTATTTGTCATGACTTATCAGTTAAATTGGTAGGAGTTTTTTTAGTAAGATTTTTAATCTTTCGAATTATATTGAAGCATTTAGATTTAAGTGATACCAAATCAGAGTTTTTTTATATTTTAATTAATTTTAAAATATGGAAATATTAATTATTAATTTAGATAATGTTAATGTTATTTGTGATGACCCGTCCTCGATGGTCTAACTTCGTGTCGGACAAGTCATTCAATAATGCGGATTCGTGCTTGGTAATTTGAAATCCACATGCTCGCACGTATGATTCTAACTCTGGCACGTGCGTTCAATCCCTCTTAAATCCCGTAGCATTTTCTCTTCGCTGACATCGCTCCTCACAACACGACCTGCTCCACCGACGACTGCTTAGTTTGGAGGCGGTTACCGGTTACCGGAGATCTCTACCTGAAATCACTTCCGATGACGGTGAGTTCTCCTCTCAAAACCTCTTCTCTGAATTCGCATGCGTATTCTATGAATTTTTTGCCCGGTAAAATTTCTGAAGATCTTGTTGCATGCGTACAAGGCATTTTTACCAATATAATTTATCGTATACGGCTACCAATGAATTGTTCAAATTTTTGCAATATATTTGATCGTTTAATATGTGTACTTTGATTGCCAACGATTGTTTAGTATTTTGGTATTTTAGGGATACATAGGTAAAGGACCCATAACTATTGTGTTACATGATTGATGAAATTACAGAGCAAGTTGCGAGTGCTGCGAAGTTACTTGTTTCATTATTAATACTCAAAGTTTGATATCGAGCTTAAAGCAAAACACACTCAGCGCATCTTTATTCCATTTTAAGTCAATAGAACCAAGAACTATCTAAAAACTGCTAACAAATTCCAGCTAGTAGTTCCACTTGGACATGTTTGTCTCCTTTTTTTAGTGTTATCTTGGGTACTTGTGAAAATTTAGAAGTTTGCATTTTTTAGTTGTCTTATCTTTTGGGATTGTGTGAACGGGATAGTGGAAGTGTCCATAGTTGATTCTCAACATAAGATATGTGATATCGATATGAAATGATTGACCATCAGAAATAAACATAGGTTGAGTGGTTCCTAGCTAGATATGTGTGTTTCATCTATGTGCTACTATCTTCGTTAAGAGTTTACAAGGATGGAATTGTAATCACGTCACAAGGTAATCAGGAGAGTGGTATGAAACACGATAAAAGTTCATCATAGAGACTGATCTTTTATTTAGATATTGTTTGAGGGCTTCAGGGAATGGAATTAATTGAAAATGTCATAAATTATTGAATGGTGTAAAACTGGAAATGGTAGGATAATTTCTGTTGAAATTTTAGGGTTTAGTTAGTGAGGAAGATGCAGAAAGGAAACTTTTGATAATATTCTCGTGGGTATAATGATGTGTTAAAATACAAAGCACTTAACCCTATTTGTACTACTACTGGACTCCTAATCTTAATTAAAAAAGAAATAATTCATGAAACATGGAAACCACTCATCAGAGATCGTCTAAGATACTCTAAAATATTTTCAAATACAATAAAAGATAATATGATATATTTTCTAGTTGTTTGGTAGGAAAGGCACACGCATTTACAACTTTTCCTTTTTAATGGGTTATGTAAATGTATGATCTTAGCCAGAAGAGAAGCTTTAGGTTTCTGCCTCCTTTGTCATTTCTTGGCGGCTTTTTTGTTGTTTTTAAGCTATACTTCTCCATTTCTCAAAATTATTTTATGAATCTATTAACTCAGTAACATCCTCTCTTATCTCTCTGTTTGCATGAGACTGCATCAAATAGAAGTAGTGGTTATAAGAAGCAATTGTAGACACTCTTATAACATACTGACGAGGGACACCATAAGGTGTTTCCCTTTAGTTGTAATTCTAGATGAGTAATATGCTTTGAATTTGTCCTTTATAGTGAGGTTTCAGTAATTTATTGTATATGCTGAGGTGGATACTCTGCAGTTTTAGACTTGTAATATTTACATTTTCTTTCCAGATAAAAACTGTTAAAGTCAGTAATGTTTCCTTGGGAGCAACTGAGCGAGACATTAAGGAGTTCTTTTCTTTTTCTGGTGATATTGAATATGTTGAAATGCAGAGGTTAGTTACTGTGCTTGGTTTCATAAACCCTTTTTTTTAGAGCGCTTTTCATTTGTAAATTTTGTTATACAAATCACAAGTCTATATATTGATGCAGTCATGATGAACGATCTCAAATTGCTTATGTTACCTTCAAGGATTCACAGGGACCTGAGACTGCAGTACTGCTATCGGTAATCCATTTGCCATCATTTAATATATATTTTAGTATTTGTATTATAGTCAAATTTGTTTTAAATTAGTGATGTATATCAACTTGCCCTGGATTAACAACCAAAAATCTCGAATTGATTAATCATTATTGGAAGTTCTAGTCATACAACACGTTACATTGAGCCAAAATATTCAGCTTTCTGTGGAAACATAATGCAGCATCAGTGAGTTACCTAGGAAAAAAAAATTCCATTTGAGGATCATGGAGTCCCACAGGATCGAAACTCTTATTGAGAAAGCTTTTATTAGTCTCTTTTTGTTGAGACTTTTTGGATATGCATGTATCAATAACTGTGCTCTTAATGCTGGAAACTCTCTGTTTTCTGCTTGTAATACTATGTGTGCTTGTAATTGTACAAATGAGTTTACAACTTGTTCAATTTCTTTTTCATGAATAAACTTAATCAAGCTGCAATTTATAACCAAATATAATCGAGTGTCACATATGTCAGGGAGCAACAATAGTCGATCTGTCAGTTACAATAACTCTGGATCCAGATTACCAGCTTCCACCTGCTGCCTTGGCATCATCAGTGAGCCCTGCTAAGACCCTCTACTATTTATTGTTGTACATAAGTAACTAGGCTGTTTTGGCCTTACAACTGTGTAATATTTTGCAGGTAAAAGAAAGTAAAACTCCTGTTGGTGCTGAATCTGCTTTACGGAAGGCAGAGGATGTTGTCTCCGGCATGCTAGCAAAGGGCTTTATCTTAGGGAAAGATGCCGTCAACAAAGCAAAGACTTTGGATGAGAAGCACCAGTTAACCTCGACAGCCTCCGCAAAAGTTGCATCTTTTGACCAAAAAATTGGGCTTAGTGAAAAATTTAATGCTGGTGCTACAGTTGTGAGTGATAGAGTTCGAGAAGTGGATCAAAAGTTTCAGGTTTCAGAAAAGACCAAGTCAGCATTTGCAGCTGCAGAACAGTCAGTCAGTAGTGCTGGTTCTGCTATAATGAAGAATCGCTATGTACTTACTGGGACCTCCTGGGTAACAGGTGCTTTTAATAGGGTTTCTAAGGCAGCTGGGGATGTAGGACAGAAGACAAAAGAGAAAGTGGAGAATGCAGAAGAGCAACAGCAGCGAAAAGTGGAAGATCAGTATGCACAGGTCCTTTCTGAGCCACCAAAATCAGCAGCAGCAGCAAGTGAGCAGCATTCTTCCAAGCCTGCTCCTGCTCAGGGTTTGATCCTTTGATTTGCTTGTACATATATAGCTTCTCTTAAACTCTTGCAAACTGTTTCCAGATGATCACCGACCTTTGTTTTGTCTAGATTGGAAGTGAATGTAGGACAGATTTGACCAGTTACTTGGACAAGTTTGCAATTATTTTATTTTCTTCTATAATATCAACTGAATTTCGTTGGTGTGAAATGATTTGTTTATCCTATTTACTTTGATTGTTGTCAAGTGGGGAAAGAAACTGAATACAAAATAATAACTATTTGTTTGCACTGGAACCAGAAAATCTAGTAGGCACTTTCTAGTTTGCACATCTGTGCTGCTACTAGTCTGCCACGTTAAAATTACAGCTCTACTGAATTCGAAAGAGCCAGTTCTCTACATTTTGTAGTTAGTATGTTGAGATTTTGCTTCTTACAACAATTAATGATGACATCATTTTCCAAAACAGTTTTCTTTACAACTATTACGAATATCTTTCCTCTTGTAATAAGCATCACAAGTCACAACAACTCGTTGGACCAAAAGCACAAACTGGGCCGTTCTCATGTCTTGGCTTTTTAATCTGAAATGTCAGCTGTTTATTGTGCTCTTCGTCGTGCTTCATCCTTTATGCTCCAGTCTTCCATGGCCACTCATATTCACTCTCGATAACTAATAACAAAAGTCGCATCTACCAAAACTTAGAACAATGCAGTCAAGTCATGAAGTTTGTTACTTCAAAAAGAACATATTCATAAAGAACTATCTATCACACATGTAACAACTGATGATACAAGGCGAATTATCAAACGAACCAATTATTTTTCCTTATTTCCTATGATAATAATGTACTTCTACCTCCAACGACAAAATTTGTTTGGTTACAATGCCAACTACGATATAGCAAGGATGCAAGGCAACAAAACAATTACAACGAAAAAGTCAGGTTGCCAAACCCTATATGACTGGTAAGAGAAAGTGCTTAATTTAGGATTCGTACTCCTAAAGCCTCAATTTGGAAGGTAATATCATGAACAATAGGAAAAAGGAAAAGAAATTGATAGTGAAGCATTACATATGGGAGGGATAGCCATTTCCTTTCAAGAAACAAGAGGAAATCCTTGATACTTTATTCGCTAGGTAGTATTAACTTTCGATTCATGTTCAAGACGACAATTCACCCATCCTAACGTAACATATGTGATTATTCAACCGTGACAATACAACACTTTTTTTTTGGATACAAATATAAATTGAACATGTAACCTAATACAAACTACTCAAATCTCTCACCACTAGACCAATCATAGTGATTTAAATACAACACTTTTTTGCACTTTAGTCAAATGCTTTCACATGTTGCATACTAAATTTATATATGAATAATGAGAAATGATGTCAGGAGAAAACTGTATTTAAGCTGAACGTGTTATTGCTGAACCTCGTCATCTTATGGCTCATTAGTGCAAATAGGAAATTTTGAAAGAAAAACAGAAAGTAACCAAGCTTAAAACTCAATTAGAAATACACCATATAGATAGCTTCTATGTCCAAAAACTACAGTATTCTACTTCCAATTAAGTGATACGGTGTAAGCATGGAGACAAAAGAAAGCACTTGACGGAGCTTGCAACATCTAGTAACCATAATCAACAATTCTTTACTATAAAATAATAAATCTAAACCCAAGCTTGCACCAGTTACCATGGACTAGCGAAGGAGAGATAGCTATGGGAATACAGAGAACAGACGTTGAAAACAATATTAGTGTAACAGTTCACCATAGCCACCGACAATGTACCTACTTTTACCATTTTCTAAAAAAGAATCCCGCAACATTAAGAGCATAACAAACATTGATTAAACAATGTTATACAAAAAAAAAAAACATTGATTAAGCAATTTTCAATTTGACAATTCACCACATAATTAAGCAAAATAGATATCAAGTAGTTGGTTTGCCTTGTATCCCATCGAGTATACAGAGCAAAATAGATATTATAACTCGCCAAGACGTGTTAAAGATTACAATGGTAAACCAACTGACTTATGACATTACTATGGCCTCAATTGTTTATAAAACTATATCTCCCTTTTTGAAATATCAAAATAGGTTATTCTTTAAACAAATCTTTAAATGACAATGAGCAACTCTAAACCGGCCTCTTAGATACAGTTTTTCCGTCTATTCCCTCTATGCAACTCTTGGTGTTAAATCGGAATGAGACTAAAAGATCGTAAAATGTAAAATCATAATGTATAAAAATCGTAAAAAATTGTAAAAACGTAAAAGTGTTTGAAATATTGATAAAATCGTTTTGATAAAAAAAATCGTAAAAACGTAAAATCGTAGTGATAAATCGAGATTTAACAACTATGTTACCAATAGTTAATTTGTAACACCTCTAATATCGAATTTGGTACCTCCAAAGCACGGACACGTTCCTTTTAAAAAAATTTGAATGTCGGACACGTGTCCGACACGGACACGCTCGGACACGCGTCCGACACGCAGTCAACATTTGGGGACACGTGGTCAACTCTCTGACACGTTCCGACACGTTTTTTCGACACGCAGTCAACTTTTTTCGACACGCGGTCAACGTTGAGACACGCTCGGACACGTTTTTTTTTTTAATCTTAATTTTATTTTGTTAACTAAATATAAAAGAAATAATTTGTAAATTAATTTTTTTCTCTAATGAAATTTGACATAAAAAATTAACAAAGTACGAAAAATTATTTATATTTATATTTATGTTATGAAATTTAAATATTTGATTGGTTATATGATTTATTATAGACTCTTATATGTATTAAATATAAGTTATATTATATATATTAAAATTTTATTTAATATCAAAACGTATCCCAACCTGTCAAAATATAATATTTTTTAGAATTAACGTGTCGGCGTGTCGTGTCCCGTGTCCCGTGTCCGTGCATCATAGTTTGGTACATTAAAAGATAAAATAAAAATTTAAATAAAATCCCAAATCGATTGTACTAAATTAAAAATAATGCCAACTTTTCATAATGAACTAATAATAGCATAAATCTTACCTGCATCGTTGGCGAATATCATTTTTTTATGAATAATTAAGGAAAATATTTTTCTTATTTGCATAAAAAAGTTATTATTTTCTATCCAAACAATAAATAGGAAAGAGAAAAGAGTTGTAGGTGAGAGGAAAAAACAGTTTTTGAAACTCATTTAAAAAAAATGTAAATATAGGAGATAATATTTTTTTAGCAATATAAAAAAAATATTACCCAATAATTAATTATATCTGTTCGAATCTTTCTACTTAATTATTAAAATAAAATAAAAATATTTAATGTTTTTTTTCCCAATAAACCAGTACCTTACATCATAGTTGTTAATGCATTGCGTCATTATCCATATGTCTTCATTTGAGGCTGAATCGAGATTTTTATAATACAAAAGCAGGTAGATTGAAGAAAAGCCAATAGCCCAATACCAATCGTAAGTAAAGTGAAAGTGTCGCACAATTTTTTTTTTTTGCTTTGTAATATATATTTATTCTATCATGACGCGTGAGAGATAGAGGGAGAATGAGTCACTTAAAGACCAAAAGGAAAGTGCGAAACGAACTGGAAATGTCTAATGATTAAGTTATATATATAGTGTATCCTTTAAGAATAAAATAACTTTAGCGAGAAATATCAATGTTAGAATAGTGAAAAATGGTGATATAATTGCAGAAGTAATTGAACATTTGATTAGTCAAAAAAATTAAAATTAAAATAATAAAGAGTACACATCGCAGGAGAATGATCAATCACATATAGAATAGTAGATTATTAAATAGCAACACAAATGGATGAAACGTAAAAATCCAAGGCAAACAGGAGCACCCCTCACACGTATGACACGAATCACGTACTTTGTTATATCAAGTCATCTTCGGAATCAAATTATTTTATACCCATAGCTTAATTAGTGCATGTGAGTTACAAAAGCGGAGTTGAGAGCATGTATTCGATATTATTCAATATCATTTTTAAAAAGAATTTAAAGTCTTAACTCTGGACTCACGCAAATAGAATTACCTCCCATAAAAAATATTTGTAATTTAAAAAAGAAAAAAAAGCTGTTCTATGTGGATATTCACGAGCTTGATCTATCCAAGTGCTGCTCGTGAAGGTGCGGCCCACTTTCTTTTGTTTATTAAATGAAAATGTTGTTTGGTGGGTCACTCGAAAAAAATCTAATATATTAGTGTAGTATCTATATCCTATCAATGAAAGTATAACACCTGTGCTGATATATATTTTTTGAAAAAAAAAATAAATTTTATTATTATGTTTATGTATTTTTCAAAATATATAATTTATAATTTTATTTTAAATGAGAGTCTTACCAATTATTCAGTACGACGATGGTATTGAAAATCATTCGGTCTTTAGCTTTATTCGTTCGTTGTTGTCATCGTCAATTTTTAATTTCCAATAAATGCAAAATTAAAATTTGTAGTTGGTACAGTGGGCGTTTGATAATACCAATGAGATAAATTGGTAAACGAGATATAAATTATGCGAATGATGAGATGCTAAACCCCTAAATCATACGGGAATTTTTAATTAATTGATTCGATTGACGAATTGGTAAACTTACTCGTTAAGTAAACTAGCCAAGGAAGGGTTCAACTTTAACCCAAGAAAAGTATGTAGATGTCTCGACAAAAATAAAAAAAGTATGTAGGTGTTGGGGAAGAACTTTGTATTTCTTTGCATTATTGTTTTTTCTTCCACGTGGATTTTATGGATATATTCACTTCAATAATATGTCTTGAAGATATTTTAACATTGATGTATAAGTCCATAGCCAATTAGACATACATAAGCTATCGTTAGGGGAGTGTTAAACAACATTGAGTCACACTGGTAGATTTTCTTATGTATTTATACAGTATTATATTATTTTCAATAAATGTAAATACAATTCAATAAATGCATTACCGATTATTGTAATTTCCTTTGTTTGAAAAGAATATTAACTAGCGGCAGATTCACAATCTCTTCCTGAAATTATTTTTCAATGTGTTACCTATAATGTTATAAAAATTGAAAAGAAAATTAAAGCGCAGGACTTTTGTGTCATTATTCAATTAGTTTAACCATTTGAGTTTATAATTAAATAATAATTAAACCAAATATTATTCGAGCTAAAAAAATAATCAATTAATCTTCAGCTATCCTTGGGAAACAAAATATATATATATAATCAGTTCATAATCTAATGGGTTCAAGTGACCGATTCAACCCAACTTTCAGAACATCGTTTACTTGTGAATTGTGATAAGAAATATGTGGTTCACTATGAAAATCGATCCATGAAATTGTTTCTGTAGTGTTTTACCGCGATACGTAATGTATTATTATTTGACAAGTTCTTTGTCATGACACATTTAAATCCTTATATTCAATAATCAATAATACTATAGAAAATAATAACTCCACGAAATGAATTTGGATGTTTTGTTAAAAATAGATAGGCACACGTTTTAAACTTACCCATGATAAACTATAAAATATAAGAATTTTATAAGAGTTATGTTGTAGGAAAAGTGATTGTGTAATGTTATAGAAATTCGTTTTGTGTGCCGTAATTTTTTTTTTTTTCTTCAAAAAATGTGGGCCCTACAAAATATTGTATGTGTAAAAAAATTTGTTATGTCAAGTTAAATGACAAATACAAACCCCAAAATATAATAATCGTAATCAAAATAAAATAGAAAAACTTATTCTCACCTTGAACTTATATCCAAAAAACATTATTCTATTTTAAGTATATATTTAAATTATTTTATTTTATATTTAAACCAACATAAGATACAAATTTTCTAAAATGAGCTTTTAAAAAAAAAAAAAAAAAATCCGTTTTGAATGCAATCAAAAGATTCAAAACTTGTTATCAAAAAAAAAAAAAAAAAATTCAAAACCAAACAAGCATTATATATAAGAAGAAAAAAATTTAGGCTATATACGCAGAATCGGATGTATGATCCGTACCCTATGCCTGACCATATTCGAATATGATTAGGGACCAACCAATCAAAACCCTCCACCATGTCATACATACCAGACACACAACATCATCGCCGACACAGGATATGGCCCATTCATTCAATTGTGCATTATTCGTGGCACGACGTCGTTTCCTCGAACTTCCGACATACATGCCCAACCAAAGAAAGTGTCAAAGCACATCCGTTTCCGTTTTCGTTTTCACCGAAGCACCGACACTTTTGCAGCATGCTTTTCCCGTTCCACCTCCCCAAACGACGACACGTGTAACGGTGTAATCACCCATCCACCGTGGCAAAGCCAAATAGCACGTCCAGCGGTAACGGGGGGAGGCTCCTGGCTCCGCTCCGTTCCCTTTCTAACAGAGCGAACACGTGACCCAAAATCCCAATCATCAAGATTCTGATCAGATCCAGCTGGCACTCTTAACTGCAACACAACCCGAGGTGCAGTTAACGGTCCCAAAGTCCAGCTGTATTCCAATATTCAGCGCACCGACTGCTATCCTACGCCTTCACCGGAACAGTGAACACCCAACCAACTCAGCCACTCACTCACCTTTTGCTTCAACGGATAGTTGGTGAATGGTATGATACATATACATATACACAAGAAAAAATAAATAACAAATAATAAATTCTCAAAATAAGAGAGTATTATTATTCAGTGTTGAACATTCAAAATGGAAGAAGATCTAGAAGGGTGAAATTGATTTTATTTTTTATTTTGTTTTTTCATGAGAGAAAACAAAAGCAATTTCGGATATACAGAAACAAGAATATAGAATGGAAGGGGTAAGGAAAGAGGCAAACACATGCGGGAAACTCGTGACTCCCACTCCTTGGAGCTAGAAAATATAAAACCTGCTTAAAAATCGGCGAGCTTCCTGTGAAGGCGAGATTTTGGTATTTGTTGCAAACTACGGAGGCTCCGGATAGCCAAAACATCGCCTCTCTTAGCGTCCATGTAATGATGCCCAATGTCGCCAATCTCCGCTGCTGAATCTACAATAAGAACAGATCCAGAAAATGTTTAAATAAATTATACATAAATTAATTAATTAAAAAAAAGTATGTGGAAATGCATTGTACCTAAATGATCCTTGGACAAGCTATTGAATCCAGTGAAATGATCCAAGTCTGAAACAAGGAGGTGAGGGTTTGTTACAAGTTTCGAATAGTATATATGTATATATACATAATGGAAAAGGAACAGGAAAAGGTGGAGTGGTACCTGATGGAGAGGGAGTGTGAGAGCAGAGGTAGAGGATGAAGAAGCATAGAAGAGTGAGGATTGGAATGAGGTGGATGAACTTGTGAGGTGAGGAAGGAGGCGACGAGAGTCTGTGAGTTTTGGGGGCATCGTCATCGTCGGCGTCGGCGGGGGCGATGAGCGTGTCTTCCTTGGCGAGCTTCGAAGATGGCGAGCCCAGAGACTGTCTGTGCATCGTGTCACACTTACGCTAAGCGGCTGCGAGAGATGGCTTACACACACGGAGTGTCCACAGAATTTTATGCTTTTTATTCGGAAGGATATTGTCATAACCAAGTGGTGTTACTACTAAATGACTACCAATTAATCTCACCGTTAGATCGATTATATTGATCCAACGGTTATATATTTTTATCTTTGTATGGTCATGATTTTCCAAATTTAATACTTTATATTTATTTCTACCTTTATATGGTTATGATTTCACATATTTAATGATTTCACTTTAAATATGGGAAATCATAACGATACAAAGATGAAAATAAATATAACCGTTGGATCAACATAATCGATCTAACGGTAAGATTAATTGATAGTCACTAATACAACTTGTTTGTCACAATATCATTCTCTTTTTATTTATTTTATTTTTTTATTTCTTTGTTTGTTGCAGTTTTTTTTTTTGTTGAGATATTGTTCCAGTTTTTTTTACTGTGAGTTTTACTCTCGTGAGTCGTGACCCACTCTTTCGTATCCAATGATGAATTGGCTTGTCCTTTTACTCATTTTCCGCTGTTCCCTTCACTTATACTCCTCTCGACTCTTTTTCTTTTTTGGTTTTTCCCAATTCAACTCTTTTCACTTTTCTGTTACCTTTTTCTTTGGTACGGCAAAGTAAAGGAATTATTTAGACTATAGTAATAAAAAGAGAGAAACTGACAGCAAGAGAATATATAAAATTATGTTCTTACGAGATTCAATTCGTATTTTTTATTTATTTGCGTGTATTTGTAATTTCTTTATAAAATCAAAGAAAGGAATAAAATTATGTTTTTTCCCCTTTGTTATACCAAACAAGGTCTTACTACCTTTTACAAGAAAAAATCTTATTTGAATTATTTTTTCTTTAAAACGAGTAAGGTATGTTTATTTTGAAATTTTTAATATGTTTAAATTTTGATGTACTTTGAATTAAAATATTAATAAATATATTCTTATTTTGAAAATAATGTTACTTTAAAAGAATATTACCTTTTTTGTTTGAGTTTTGTCAAGGTCATTCGTTAAAAAATAAAAGTATTATTTTTTACTTGTCACTAATTAGTTAAAAAACAACTTTAAAATATAATTGTATATTTATTTAATAATTTTTATATTTTAAGGGGATTGTATTGGTCCTGTTACGTAACAAATCCCTTTCATCCTGCACATACAAAAATCATCGCTGTCAACTTTTTATTTTGTTTTTTGTTTTTTGACACTCTCATGGCTCATGCTTTTTTTTAGAAACTGATCTTAATTACTTCTTTGAGGCGAATCAGAACCCTCTGATATCCCCACGGGTTCGACTCTTTGAGCCGCCTATGAGACTAATCCAGAGTTCGGGTGCGAGTTCAAGGATTACGGTACTTATGCCCCTCCTCAGATGGTGTTGGTGGAATTCCATGGCCCATGCTTTTTGGTTAGTGCAGGAAAAACATTTCTATTTCCTATAACATAACAAATCTATTCGCCATATTTTAATTATTTGACTTATATATTTAGGATAAATGTTACAATCTTAGTTTTTATTCGGTGCTAAATGATGGTGCATTTATTTTTCCTTCTGTTTGCCTGGTTCATTATGATATCTCAATAAAATATATTTGAATCATCTCATGTGAAAAATTGTTATGTGATTTTTTTATTTGATTACAACCACTCATTTATGATGAGATAAGAGATAGAAAAATATAATTTTTAAATAAGTGATTATAATCAAATAACATAATCACATAACCACTTTTCTAAAACACAAGGCGTTTGGATTTTGCAAACAAGACCTAGGTTTGTTAAAATCAAAGCCTGTATAGAACCAATAACAACAAGCTACACGTATTCTCATGGATAATTCACGACCCGTTCAAATAAGTTTCTCATGGTTCTCTACATTATCCCTCTATCTCTCTCTATATTTTATACCTAAAACTAAGAAGAAGAAAAAATCAAGCTTGGTGAATGCCACTTTCAATTGCCTAGTTGTTTACGAGTCTATCTCATGGTTTATTAAGAAAGGCCCGTGGAAAAAATAAAGATCGATGGACTTGGCGGAATTAGAATAAAATATTTGAGGTACAAAATCAAAATTTTAAAAGGTTTCAAATTATAATCTGATCAGAACCGGTTTTACTCCTGGACCGATCATGTGATCTTCCTCTACATAAATGGCCTAGAACCGTCTTGGGTCAGAGCATCTTGCAGTTGGAGCAGCTTTAACCCATGGGTCTTCAATGGAACAAGATGTGGGGTGCACCTGACACTCTGACGCTCAAGTCAGTTTTGGTTCAAGCAGGTTTAATTATGTAGAAGAAGATGTGTACCTTAGTGTGGATACATATGTATTTATAGTAGAAAGATGAGCAGCTTGGAAGATGTCTTTCTTCCTGGTGAAGGCAAAGGTTCCTCTTTATTGGTTCTTATGGGAGGCTTGTTTGCAGAGGTATGTAGTAGGTTTTGCTGTCATATAACCATTAATATTGAGGAGCTTGCTGGCTGTCATGAGCTTTTAATATTGTAGAGCTTGCTGAGATAACCTTTAATATTGTGCAGCTTGGAGAGATGGGCTTTGCAGCCTTCTTTGACTATGAGCTTTCTTAGTAGTAAAGGCTTTTAGTTTGGGCCTTGTATTTTGATAATATATATCCAGATCAGAAGCCCCTCAGCTCGCTGCTTATGCTGAGAGCATGAGTAGTGAGATGACATATCTGTTTATCAACCTGGAAAATTCATTGCGCTTGTTCCTTTATCTGGAACCATGGTCTGTACTTTTGTATGGGTGCTTGAGAGCTTCATAATTGTATTCTGCATATTTATACATTTCATAATTCATAATTCATATATTTGGCGTACCTGTCTATTTTGCATGCTCTGTGGTTTGATGTCGCTTAGTTTGTACTTGATGTTGCCATAAGTATCGCGCTTTGGAGGAAGTTTGAACCAGTTAAGATTTTAGCTTCCTTTGCTCTTGAATGCGCGTTGGAGGCAGTTTTAACCAATTTTTATCTTCCTTTCATTTTCTTCACCGCGCTGGAGCTTTGGAGGAAGTTTTATTAGCTTCCTTTCATTATTGGAGGATCCTTGTAGGGGAATCCTTTTAATTGGAGGATCCTTTCATTTGGAGGGTCCTTTTATAAGTTCCTTTTACTTGGAGGGTCCTTTTAGAGGATCCTTTTACTTGGAGGGTCCTTTTAGAGGATCCTTTTACTTGGAGGGTCCTTTTATAGGATCATTTTACATAGAGGGTCCTTTTATAGGATCCTTTTACTTGAAGGGTCCTTTTAGAAGACCCTTTTACTTAGAGGGTCCTTTATAGGATCCTTTTACTTGGAGGGTCCTTTTAGAGGATCCTTTCACTTGGAGGAAGTTTCATTATCTTCCTTGTTGGAGGATCCCTTTATTTGAAGGATCCTTTCATTTGGAGGAAGTTTCATTAGCTTCCTTGTTGGATGATCCCTTTATTTGAAGAATCCTTTCATTTTCTTCATTGCGCTTTAGCTTAGAGGACTTTTCTTTTGTTTGGTGAAACCTGTATTTTTTACAAATCTCACAGAATAATGTCATATCATTAAGATGATAAGTTCAATGAAATAGAAACAGTTCAAAATAATTCATAATAATTTTGCAGATATCAACTGTAAAATTTTCCGAGTTTATCTGCGTTTCAGGCGAGATTTATGTCTTCGTCGTTCATCATTCATGGATCCCTGCAACTTTTGACAGCATCGGGCTAGATGAAAAACCAGCAAGGTAAATTACGTGTACCTTTTGGGGTGGAGATTGAAGTTTATCTTTCCCACAGACGGCGCCAATGATCAGAATCGATTTTACACCTGGGCTGATTATGTGATCTTCCTCTACACAAATGGTCTGGAACCTTCTTGGGTCAGAGCATCTTGCAGTTGGAGCAGCTTTAACCCATGGGTCTTGAATGGAACAAGATGGGGGGTATACCTGCAAGACACTCCGACGCTCAAGTCAGATTTGGTTCAAGCAGGTTTGATTATGTAGAAGAAGATGTGTACCTTAGTGTGGATACATATGTATTTATAGTAGAAAGATGAGCAGCTTGGAAGATGTCTTTCTTCATGGTGAAGGCAAAGGTTCCTCTTTATTGGTTCTTGTGGGAGGCTTGTTTGCAGAGGTATGTAGTAGGTTTTGCTGTCATATAACCATTAACATTGTGGAGCTTGCTGGCTGTCATGAGCTTTTAATGTTGTGGAGCTTGCTGAAATAGCCTTTAATATTGTGCAGCTTGGAGAGAAGGGCTTTGCAGCCTTCTTTGACTATGAGCTTTCTTAGTAGTAATGGCTTTTAGTTTGGACTTTGTATTTTGATAATATACATCCAGATCATAATCAAAATGAACAATCAAAATTCAAGTGAGTTTTTTTTTTTTTAAATAAGTCTTGAAATGGATAATTTATCTTTGATTAGATCAAATTAGAGAGAAGCAAAGGGTATAGTAACTGGTCTGGACACCAACTGACTGTAATATTTAAAAATATTCCAAATAAAGTGTGAAATTACATATCAAGCAAAGGCACCACTATATTTAGGGTTGACAAAAATGAGTCAATCCATTGAGTTGGCTTGTAACTCGTAAAAAATGAGTCAAGTTGAGTTGGCAAGAATGAGCTGTCAACCCGAGCAACCCGACTCGAGCTAGCTCAAAAAAAAAAAATGAACGGTTGAGTTTTTTTTTATATATTAAAAAATATAAAATATAATATACAAAAATGGACAAAACTCACTCGCTGTCACCGTCTTTCTTCCTTCTCTAAACCTAAGTCCCTAATCTTCTCAGATCGCTACCATTTTTATATTGTTAGGCTACGCTGGCTCTATTTGGTTCAAATATTTTACCCACTTTGTAGCAAGTGATTCTGATTGTTTCTCGATCTTGGTGCAAATTTATTGTGAAATTTTTTTGAAACTAAAACATTTTGCTTTTACTTCGCATTCTGTAACTTTTTAGTTTACTTTTTCATAAACTATTATGTAAGACAATTGTATTGTTTAAGATGATGGAAGTCACATAGCTGGTCATTAATATTACATGTTTATTTAAATAGACTAAAAAACGAGCCAACCCGCGAGTCATTTTTGAGCCAATCCGCAAGCCCTTTTTTAAGCCAACCCAAGGCCATATTTTTGAGCCAACCCTAACCCGATTCTTTTTTTTTTTTTCGGATTGTATGTGGGTTGGGACGGGTTGTGCCAAATTGACCCATTTTGTCAACCCTAACTGTACCACTTATGTTATGAAGTGTTCTAGGGGTTTAACCAAAAAATAAAAATGGTTGTATAATATTCAAAATTTCAAGTATAAAGTAAAGTTTTAAAAGCAAGATAAAACCGATTCAGCCGGATTGTAAATTAGTTATGTCTCATGTTTAATATAATCGAATTTAATTATAAACATTAATCAATTAAACCAATTGAGCATGATTCCAAACTCATATCAATTCAATCTTCAATTTAATATTTAAAACATTAGCACAAAGTATAAGACTTCCATTTCAAACCAAGCGTAATGAGTTGGGTGAAGTCTTACGTTTTAAAAGTGCTAATCCCATTTGTATAATCTGGATTGAGTTGCACAAAAAATACAAAACAAAAGTAGTAGTGTCATCTGAACAAAGCTATACTATACTATTAAACTAAATAGACCTAATATTACAAAATATGGAAAATTGTGACACCTTATTCAATTACATGTATACAATATTTCTGTTTCTTCCATTCATATAACTATTCAACCTTTGATGTTTGGCATTGGCACCGTCATAATCATAATCATGTCAACCCAATTTTTTTCATCCTTATCCCTATTCCTACCAAACAAAAATAAATTGTTGACGATAACGACTTGGATTTTTTTTTTTTTTTTGATAACATAACGACTTGGATTTTTGGGTCAAAGGAATATCTACAAGGTATATACCTAGTACCCAGATTCCACACTGGGCTGGGCCGGAAAGGTTGTAGGCCCAGATGAAGAAGCTCATAGCCAAGAAGGGTTAAGATGAAACAAAAGCATAATCCAACGGCCACAATGGCACGGTGACGCATGGTGAGAGAAATCGGGAAACGCAGGAGCGGCACCGCAAACGAAAATTCTGGTATGCGAAGGGAAGAAGAAGAAGAAAAGCATTACAACTTGAGAATCAGACCTATAAGAACCATTCTGTGAAACAGATAGAGAGAGAGAGAGAGAGAGAGAGAGAGAGAGAGAGAGAGAGAGAGAGAATGGTGCTGTGGGAGATAACACTGGGAACTGCGTATTTCTTGGGTCTGACACGAACTTACAGGCTTGCTCTCAGGATTCAGCGCAAGATCATAAGCCCTAAGCACCCTAAAATCCGTCAATTTCTTCACAGGTTCGTTATTCACCGTTTTGTCATTCTCATCTATGAATGTTACTCTTTTGTTTCCTGGTTGATAATGAAATGTGATGCATGACGGAGGAATCGGAATTATTTATGATTTTTATGTTTACCAATTCCTCACCAACATTTCCATCTAGTTGGCCACGTCTGATTATATTTTCGTGCCAAACATTTTTAGGGTAAGAACCGCTAGAAATTTGTTTGTTGGAGCAAAAGTGCGAATCACAAGCTACTGGAAATTGTAGTATGTTGTTTTATAGCCATCCTATTCGTTCATTCGCTCTTTCAAGTGAAGACTTAGGTAGCAGAAGTGACAGGGAAGGGTTCATTGTGTCATTGTGATATTTGGAAGTTTTAGAAAATTAACATGATAAACCTTGCTTAGTATTGGAAAAGTGTAGGTAAGGAATACTAGAAAACTAACATGATTTACATGGCTGTAAGGGAACCTTGGCAAACTTTTGGTGTTGTTGCTGGTGGTGAAAGGTTTAATTCATGTAATTAGCATCTTGCAAATGCAAGGTAAGCCTCTCCACTGTAGACCCAACCGATACATGGGTCTGACCCTTCCTTGGACCGTGTGTTTATAACCCTAGGCTTTTCCTTTCTCTCTCTCTCTATTTTTTTTAATTATATATGTGGCTTTTTAATTTTCCTTCTGACCTTTTTTTTTTTTTTTCTGATTAGCCTGCATCGGTTTTACATTTTATGTTTCTGATATGAACTTAAAATAATTATGTATGTCCACAGGATTTCCAGCTAGTAATGAATTGTGAACTCCAGTTCCAACATTTTAAAGGATAATCAGTCAGACATGAGAAGTAACATGAAAACCTTAGAGCCAATAATTTAGTTATATGCTTCTCGGAACATAAAATACATGAGGTCAACTGTTAGCATTAGTTTTCTTGGATATCCTGAACTATGCTGATCAGTGGGCATAGATTCTCATTTATTCAACTTGAAAATCTTTGTGATGCATAATTGTTATTAGTTACTTATCTTTCACTTTTTCTCTCTTGTGCTTAGCCATGAATAGATGCAATTGTTTTATTTGAGTAGTTGAAAACTGCCCAAGGGGGAAGTGGCAAGGTTGCTCCTTTTGATGAGAAAGGTCACAGAAAAATAGTCTCTTTGCAAAAAAAAATAAAAAAATACAAAGATAAGGCTGTGTATAGTTAACTCTCACATCTATTCTCACAAAGTCAGGGAGCCTTTGTGCACCAGGGTTTGTCCTTTTTAAAAAAAAAATAAAGAACTGCTTTTCATTTACCTCTTTCCCTTTTTGTTTCATTCACTGCTTGATCGGTCTTCCTGTTTTGGTGCTTCAGACGAACCCGTGCTATATTTGATGTAGCAATCAATTTTCATCGGAAAATTCAAGCCAGAGACATAGAAGTGGGTCGGAATGTTGGAAATTTCATTTTGCGACGGCTAGATCGAATGAAGCCATCAGCCCAGATTCGCGGTCCCCCTTCTGGACCACCCCTCAATGGTAGCTCAAGAGAAAGCATGACAAAGCATGCAACTGGTACTTCCAATCACAAGCCTCGTGGTTATTCTGGATTCTTCAAGAGGGACTCTGATAGGCATTTTTTTACCTCATTAAGGGCAAAGTCTTTTCCTACCATCGCAAGCATGATGCGACCACCAAATCCTGCTGGGACAACCATCCATGGCAGGCACCTCAGCGTCTATACTCCTGAAGTTGTTAGATCAAATTATAGAGCACATTGGTCAGGAAGTGTTATTAGGAGGGACATCATGCAATGGATGTTGCAAAACTAACTGTCCATCTCTGTTCTAGTGGCTTCGTATAAACAGTTTTTTTATCTCGACAGGAAAAGGTGGTTGAATAATGTTTGTGAGGCAGGCTTGGAACTGATGGTGATAGAAGTGGCAAGTTTTTGATCTTGCTCTCATTGCTTTAGACTTTTTATAGTCTGTCAAGCTTCCTTTTGGATAACGAGCTGTTATGCATTTGTTTTTAGTTTTGGTTAAAAGAACTAGTTGTTAATAACATAAAATCACAGATATTCTTCCTATTGATTAAAAATAGTGAAGATTGTGCATTTCTGTTGTAATTGTCTTTTCAAAAATTATATCGTTCTCAGCAACTTTTGTTTATGCAACTTGCAGTCTAATTTTTGCCATCCATCAACAGGACCATCCATACCATGTTTATGCAAACCTGTTTGGGATAATATCTTCTTATTCTGAACAAGTTCATATGATGTACTCTAATACGTCCGTGTTGGTTGGGATTATTCAGATTTACACGTTACCCTCTTTATTCATAACTGTGTCTAGCATTTGTACAGATGCGAATGGAATCATAACAAAGTTATATGTTAACTCTCACAAACACAGGAATCATGGAAGTGATTTTCTAGCCTTAGTTTGCTCGTGAAAACAATGTAATAATATTTGAAGCTGAAGCTGACAAAGCTTAAACAGATAGAATATGCATTCAAAATCAAGATATGTTTTCTAGCTTAAGAATCTGGATGTAATTTTGATTTAATGTTAATTTTGATATAACAAATTCTTATTCAATAGACTAAGCCGTTGCCGGAAAAAAAAGGGTCTAGAACTATAGATTAGAAGTTTACTTCAAGTATTTTCTCAAAATGCTACGTGGATACCTAAATGACCAAGAAAAATTAATCCGTCATCTAGCACCGATGACTGCATCGACTTCCATATCTTAAAGCTTGTCAAGGGACACGCTGAGACAAAGCGTCGTCTACTGTCTTCAATTTTGCTGCATTTTGATCGAGCCTATCTGAAATTGAAGCTAGATTCTCGCCAATGACACACCTGGCATGCTGCTTCTTTTTTAAAAAAAAAAATTAAAAAAAACTCTCTTCAACGTAAACTTTCTTTAAAATGAACAATTAAGATTATATCACCATTAAATTTTAAAAAGTTAATCCTTGCTTTAAAATAATTTTCCCACAATATTGTTACATCAATTAAAAGCAATCAATAAACTATCTAACTCCAATGTAGCTATACATGTTTCAGTGAGCCAACAAACTTCAAATATGCAGAGGCAATAGGCAAGTAGAAACAACGAAGCCCTTATTCCTAGGATTTAAATCTGTATCACGCGCATGCTGAGACAACACAAAGTTTCATAATCTAAAAAGCAGCTTCATAAGATTGATTTCATATTCCTCCCCCCAATCAATATTGTATAAGGCTGATAAGGGGCTGAACATATCGTTCACCGACGTTTTATAGATTGTAGAATTACAGCCTGACAACATAGGACGTTTCGCCTATATATATTACAACAGCTTGAGAAGAAGATAAAAAGAAAAAGAAAAAGAATGATACATGTCGAATATACCTTTCACATTATTTTTTAGGGGTAGGGATGGGGTGGGGGAAGAAGAAAGGAATAGGAGTTTAGTTACTTTCCTACTGATCAAGAAGAGGACTCCCTTCTCTGGCGAGGACAAAAAGACCGCCATCTCCCCTTGATATTCGCAAGTCCTTATCAAGATATGTAGTAAGAAGCCATGAGCTTGTCCTCTCACCAGGAATGGGAATCTTAAGAGGTGGCTGACCAGAAATGACACGTGATATGCTTGCCACAACATTCTGCACAGGACCGAGGGATTGTTGCAGAGGCAGAAGGCTAAGTTTTTGGCCAAAAATGTCTACATTTTCTGGTAGTTCAACGTTAGACTTTATCTCTATAGGTTGTACTGTACCTTCTTTGAATATGACCTGCTTGCATTTAGAAATGTTAGCAAGGGCTTTCTAGTCATCAGCAATCTAAAAAGTTCATATGCACGCTGAGCAATCTAATGACTAACTAACTACATTAGGGTAGCACACAAATTGCAATATCATTAAACAATAAGCAACATATAAATCACATTTGCATGACAGAATAGCAGTAACTATTTATTTAACTACTTAAGTACAAATATAATATGATGAACTTTTGAGTACATAGAATATGGTAAGCATAGTAAGTATTTTTCTTTTTTACATTGTCGTTTTATTGCTCCAAAGTAAGAAAACCCAATTATCAGTTTTCACATTACAAAAGCAGAAGAGCTTATTAAGTTAGAACTTGGAAGGTTTTTTTATATTCCTAATTCAGCATTAAATAGTTTATTTACAGCTATACAAAGTATCCTTTATCTTCTCCTTTCTACTTCTTTTGGCCAAACCAGTGTACTCAAAGGTGTCCAAAGGCGCAACTAAGGAACTAAGTTGATGTGGCAGAAGTGTCAGCACCTTGTGCTGGTTCAGTCCCTTCCCCTTCAGTGAGATGCATGCATCTGGTGCCTTAGGCATGCCTTTTTGGCTCAGGTGAGGCACACCCATAACACCTTATTGACAATTGTTTCTTTTTTTTAAAAAAAAAGAAAAAGAAAAAACCCATAAAGCCCAGCCATCCAACCTTGCTATGTCTGATGCTAAAGGGAAATAAATAATTGTCAGTCTTGGGCACTCTTAGGAGCAAGTGAGCAACCAATTTAGGGTTTTATAGATTGAAAATCTTAGTCTTTTTATTTATACTATGATTGTTATGCTTGATTGCTTTGGTAATTAATTTATAAGGCAAACTAATGCAATATAGTCGAATATTTTACTTTTTTTAATGTTGACATCTTCCAAAAGCAAGCCTTAGAGCAATTGTAAGGTTGCTCCTTTGTGGCAGGAAGGTCACATATTCGAGTATAGAAAATAATCTATTTGTAAAAATGCAAAGGTAACACTGCTACATACAATAAACCCTCACCCCTATCCTCACAACAATTGAGGGGCATTGTACACTAGGGTTTGCACTAATGCTAATGTCGTTCATAAATGAGATATGCACTTTTTGGCGCCTGTTTTGCCTTAAGGTGTTAAAACCCTAGAACCTCTCACCTTTTTTACTACCTCAGGTTAAACATTTTTGCCTTTCTTAAATGTGATTTAGTGAAATACTAAGGTTTTCATGAGAATACCTGTATTCTTGTAGGGCTTCGAACTTCAAATGAGGCAGATGCACTGAAAGACCAAGAGGCAAAAGGGCTAGACAATGTCGTGGAGTTTATAATGGTGAAGCTACTGGTATCAATTGTTTGTGAAATCTTGTCCACCTTCAACAAAGGTAATGTTCCTACTGCTAGAAGAGGCAACAGTTCAGAAGATGCTGTGTACCTGAAATCAGTTTGACATGCGAAGAAACAGTAAGGACTTCAATTAAGAATTATTACTAAGAGACAGTTTGAGTTACTTTCATCAATACCAACATTTTTTTTTCTGATAGAGTACATCAAGATTAGCACAAAAACAAATGCTTTTGTCCATAAAGCAGCAATGACTCAAACAGACAAAATCCTCTTATTTTTTCAGTGCAAAGTCCTGTTATAAAAAGGCCCATTAACTCTTGGTGTCACAAAGATACTTCAGAGATTTGAAATTATAAGTATCGTCATATGACAGTTGCTACCACTATCTTCATCCAAAGCTTTCAATCCGCAGGACTGTAATATAAGCATGTTAAACTAAACAGGAATCCAATTAATACCTGAGAAAGTAGAAGCAGCCAAAGCACAAGTCGTAAATCTCCATATCATAACTCTTTTTAAGATTCTCAAAAATGGCAAACAAATTTAAAAAGAAAGAAGAAAAGAAACAGAGCAAATCATTCTTCACCATGGAAGATACAAGAATGAAAGAAATATGCTGCCTACCACAAGCATAAGTTCATTTTAGCTAGGTTTGAGTTCAGAATTCAGACAGCTCCAACATTCATATTAACCCCTCTAAAAAAAGTACCTTACCTTTTGTTGGCACCAGACTTTTCCAGAGAAGTAATTACAGATATTAAAGAACCAAACAGCAATCTCAATGAAGAACGACGACTTTATTAATGGAAATAAGAGTCATACACTTCATCAGTAATACAACTCATGACAGTAAGCAAATGACAGAAAAATAAGAGACTCAATGATAATGACTCCTTCCTCCCAATGAACTATCCGATTGGAGAAGAAATACAGAGGACTATACCTTGCAGCCACACTGCCACTACCCACACCCTTACACAATATTCTTCACACCTCCCCACATTTCCCTAACTGACTAATATCCCCTGAATCTTCCCTTGCTTCCTCTCCAATTTGGCCCTCTCCATTGATAGCTTGCCATGTGTCCCCTCCCCTAACTTAATTCGTTTTGTCTTCAGCTCCTCCCTTTTGGGCCTTGCGTGTGTAAACCTTGCCATCGGATTTGAGAGGCCCATCAACACCCCCTTTCAAAATTCACCTTGTCCCCAAGGTTCAGAAGGAAATTAGTCTGAAAATCCAGCAGATTTTCCCAAGCGCAGTCACAATCTGCCAACTCTTCCTATTGCACTAAAATTTCTCCTTGTCAATTCAACATACGTCGAGCTTGGAGAATAGCATCCGGTTGAACCTGGAGCTCTAATGAATCCGACAAATAGCGAGGTAAATCCAGCACTGGAATAGAAGGGTGAACAGCCCTCTTTAATTGGGAGACGTGAAAGACCACATGGACCTTTGAATATGAAGGGAGCTCTAACCTATATGCAACTGGGCCTATTTTCTCCTTGATCTCAAAGGGCCCATAAAAACATGGGCTTAATTTTTGGTTAAGCCTCCTTGCTAAAGACTGCAATTTATAAGGCTGAAATTTTAAAAATACCTTGTCACCCATTGCGTATTCTTCTTCTCTGTGTTTCTTATTAGCCTGCAGCTTCATTCTTTGTTGTGCTTGACACAAATTTTGTTTGAGTTCCACCAGAATTGCATCGCGAGCAACCAGCCATGCATCCATTGCTGCCACTGAAGTACTGCCAGGTTGAAAGGAAATAATGGTGGGTGGATCACGCCCATATAAAGCACGAAACAGAGTCATTTGAGTGGACCTGTTATAAAAGGTGTTGAACCAAAATTCAGCCCAAGAGAGCCATTTGGCCCAACCTCGTGGATGTCCAGCAGAAAAACAGCACAGATAAGTTTCTAAGGTGCGGTTGACGACCTCTGTTTGGCCATCCGTTTGGGAATGGTAGATGAAACTGAATCTTAACTTGGTGCCCGTTTATTTAAACAACTCGCCCTAGAACTTACTCATAAAGACTCATAAAGACCCGATCTCTATCTGATATAATAAACTTAGGAATACCATGCAGCCTCCCAGGGGTGTTTAAGGGTCATAAAGTGGGCATATTTTGTGAGTCGGTCAACTACCACTAGTATCGTATACACCCCCATAGATTTTGGTAATCCACCAATTAAATCTATCGAAACATCCTCCCACACTTGTTGAGGAATATGTAATGGCTGTAGAAGGCCAGCCGGCTTCAAGTGGTCGTATTTTTGTTATTGGCAAATCCCACAAGCTCTAACAAAGGCTGTAATGTCCTTACGCATACCTTTCCAATAAAAAACAACAGCCACCCTTTTGAAGGTCCTCAGCTCACCCGAATAGCCCCCCAAGATGAAGAATGGAATTCTTGTAAAATTGCATAAATCTGTGGGGAAGTTCTAGGAAGAACCATCCTCTGTTTATACCATAAGCAGCCTTTTATCACCTGATAATCAGGATGGGAATTAGCATCCAGTAACACTTCAGTGAGAATTTTGTGTGTTGTTGGATTAGCTAACACCTCGTCAAATAGTTTCTGCAAGTCTGGGCTAGTGACCAAAGTCAGCGCCTTCCAATCCATGACCCGAGATAACACATCAACGTCATTATTTTCAACTCCCGATTTGTATTGGATCTCAAAATCATACCCCATTAATTTAGCCACCCATTTCTGCTGCCCCTCCACCATTAGTCTTTGCTCCGTTAAATATTTGAGGCTCCGCTGATTAGTTTTAATCACAAAATGGCGTCCCAATAAATAATGACGTCATTTGTGAACAGCAAAGACGATTGCCTTCAAGTCACGCTCGTAGACAGAGAGAGACTTATCTTTGTCAGAGAAGAGGCTTTACTAAGAATTGGGCGCCCTCCTTGCATCAAAACTGCCACCATACCAATGCCTGAAACATCGGTCTCCATAATAAACGTGTCATTAAAATTAGGAAGTGCCAAAGTAGGAAGTTTCAACATTTTCAATTTTAAAGCCTCAAATGACAATTGGGCCTCCTCATTCCACAAGAAACTATCCTTTTTTAAAGGCTGCGTCAAAGGCCTGGCAACCTGACCATACTAAAATGCCTATAATATCAAGTCAGCCCCAAAAATCCCCGAAGACTCTTCACATTTTTTAAGGTAGGCCACTTTGTACTGCCTCTATTTTCTGTGGATCAGCTTTCACCCTGTTCTGAGAGATCAGATGACCCAGTTATTCTAGTTCGCCTTGTGCAAATGTGCACTTTTTAAAATTCGCAAAAAAAATGATTTTGTCGCAGAATATCCAATACCACTTTCAAATGTTCACAGTACCGGTGCATACTGTTGCTATAGACCAGGATGTCGTCAAAAAACACTAACACAAATTTCCTTAAATACGGCTTGAAAACAGTATTCATTACGGATTGGAAAGTAGATGGGTTATTTCTCAATACAAAGGGCATTACGAGATACTCGTAATGACCCTCATGCGTCTGAAACACAGTCTTTTCTAGATCCTCAACCCTCATACGGATTTGATTATAGCCTGATTTTAAATCTAATTTTGAAAACAGCCCAGCACCATCCAACTCATCTAGGATTCATCAAAAACTGGAAGGGAAAATTTATCAGGGATTGTTACCTTGTTTAGAGCTCTGTAATCCACGCAGAATCGCCAGCTTCCGTCTTTCTCTCTCACCAAATCAGGGGACTAGAATAAGGGTTGCAGCTAGGTCTGATCATCCCTATCACGAGCATCTATTTGACGAATTTCTCTATTTCTTCCTTCTTCTGGTAATAAGGGTAACGATATAGACGAATGTTAAGAATATATGCGCCTTGCTTCAATAAGATCTTGTGATCACAATCCCTCAGGGGTGGCAATGCTGAAGGGGGTTGAAATACATCCTCATACTGTAGAAGCAAGTCTGAAATAAATGGGTCTTCCTTTTGTGAATCAGATAACTCCAGAGCACAGTACCCCAACTCAATATAGTACCCTTCTATATCCTGAGTCATGCTCTTGTAAGATACTTGGCTATAAGACAACTCAGGGTCTCCCCTCAAGGTTACCATATGTCTTTGCCAAGGAATGTGAAGCACCAGTTTTCAGAAGTTCGCTTGAATGTCACCTAACTCTTCCAACCAAGAGAATCCCATCACCAAGTCTACCCCATTAAGACAGAAGATGTAGAAGTCTTGAGTAATGGACACTGTTAGAATAGATATGATTAGATTTAAATCTAATCATATATATTCATTGGGGAGAAGCAGAGTTACTCCCTTGCAAATTCCCCTACCTTGAACCCGGTGACCATCCCCTACCTCAACTCGAAATGACTTCGATCCGAAGGTTTGTAACCCCACCACGTCCACCATATGCTCACCAATGGAATTGTGAGACGCCCCTGTGTCGACGAGCACCACCACCTTGTGGCCTTGAACCTCCCCCCACAACTTCAAGGAACGATTTGAGGTGATCCCTACCACACTCTGAATGCTGAGTTGGAGCGTTTCGATCTATTCTACCTCTCTGTCTCCCTGACCCAGCTCCTCCTCTGTTGATCCTTCCAAGTCGTCGCACACCAACAACACGTGCAATTGGGGGTTCGGACAAACATGACCCGGACCATAGGGTCCACCACAGCGGAGGCATAGGTTCCGACTCCGATAATCCTCGACTTCCTCTGGTGACAGTCGACAAAAGTTACTTCCACGACAATTGTCCATTACGTTAGCCGTCGCGCCCACTTGCTGCGAAGACCCTCCTTGTTCCAGAGTTGCACTCCCTACGCGGATAGGGTTCGAGTACGCGTTACTGGCTGCTGAAGATACTTGAGTATTGGTCAATTGGGTCTGTTGGGCTGTAGCAACTAGCCCATTATGCCCCCATCTATTTCCATTTTGTCCTCCATTCTTATTTCCCAATGCGGGCCTCCCATGATTATTGGTCAGCCCAAATCCACCTCGGCCCAACCTTCCATCTCCTCCTCCCAACACCATCTCACGTTCCTCTACCCTCTGTGCAAGGAGCATCATCTGCCCAATATCACCTGGAGAATGCAAACGAATTTCTGCCCAGATTTCTGGTTTCAACCCCGTCAGAAAAGCGGCTTGCATCAACTCCTCATCCATCTGTCTCAATGGAGCTAATAGGACTTCAAACTACTTCCGAAATTCTGCCATCGTCCCCACCTGCTTCAACTCCATTAACGCTTCGTACGGGTTCCCGGATGGTGATACATGGAAGCGTTGCAAAATCGCAGATCGAAACATCATCCAATCCACCAACGGATTTCTTGGTTCCCACCACTGAAACCAGCTTAGGGCCTCACCTTCTAAGCAAATCGACGCCGTCTCCAATTGCTCTTTCGGTTGGATTCGATTGACCCAGAAATATCGTTCAACCTGAAAGATCCAGCCACAAGGATCTTCGCCGGAGAAATATGGGACCTTTACTCTTCTCATCCTCTCTTCGTTTCTCACTGCTCATGGGGTTACCTCATTGGTCCCTCCTTGGGTACCAGTTCCTCCGTTGTTTGGTCCACCTCGGTGCCCTGCCCTTGTAAGTTCTTGGAGGGTCCTCATCACCTCCGCCAGGTTTGCTTCAATTCGATGAATTCCCTCTTCAATACCCACCTCACTAGCCTCCAATACTTCTATTCGATGATCCATGATTCTCTTCAGCACCATCCAAGTTTCCCAGGAAAGTGCTTTGATACCAAAATGTTGGCACTAGACTTTTCCAGAGAAGTAATTACAGATATTAAAGAACCAAGCAGCAATCTCAATGAAGAACAACGATTTTATTAATGGAAATAAAAGTCATAAACTTCATTAGTGATACAACTCATGACAGTAAGCAAATGATAGAAAAATAAGAGACTCAATGATAATGACTCCTTCCTCCCAATGGACTATCCGATTGGAGAAGAAATACAAAGGACTACACCTTGCAGCCACACTGCCACTATCCACACCCTTACACAATATTCTTCACACCTCCCCACATTTCCCTAACTGACTAATATCCCCATAATCCTCCCTTGCTTCCTCTCCAATTTGGCCCTCTCCATTGATAGTTTGCCACGTGTTCCCTCCTCTAACTGAATTTGTTTTGTCTTCAGCTCCTCCCTTTTGGGCCTTGCGTGTGTAAACCTTGCCATAGGATTTGAGAGGCCCATCACCTTTGTAACGGAGGAGCGATAAACTACTGAAAATAGTCCCAAATGTTCACTAACTTAAACACGTTTAAATCCCACAACCTTCCAACCTAAGGCAACACATATATTACGTTCTCCATTTACACAACAACACTAAACCATCAGATCAGTCAAACTTACATTACACTACGATAGGAAAACAATTCATTTGAAAACGAAATGATTAACAAATCATGAGATATTCACATTACACAATAAAAAAGATTCAAATTTTCATGATTTGTAAACGCATTCAGACTTACAGCAAAACCCAATTTCCATTCAGAAGCCCAGGTTCCTCCACCGGTGCCAGGGTGGGGTTCGCCGCCTCCAATTGAGTCACCAACTCCGACATCTCAGCCCGAATCTCCGACCCGGCCCGAAAACCGAGCTCGGTCCCATAGGCTGTATCCACCAGAGCACGCTTCAGCGCCTCGAGCTTATCATCTACTCTCTCCTCCGCCGGAGTGCTGGTGGAGGTAGCCGGAGTTCCATTTCCGCCGTCGATGTACCCGCCGGCGTCAGCTTCCACTCCTCCTTGCCATTCGTCCTCGTCCTTCGGAGGGTCCGAATCGGGAAGCTTGGACGATGCTTCGGGCTCGGGCTCGTAGTCCTCGCCCCACTCGTCGGAGATCTTAGAGGAGGCCTTATCGGCGTCCCCGGTGTCGCCGGCGGCGGAGGCTGAGGAAGAGGAGTTGAAGCGAAGAGAAGGGAATCTGGGACAGCGAGGAGAGAGAGAGATTTGAAAGTGAGGAGAGGAGAGAGAATGAGGTTTATGGTTTAGAGAGAAGACGAAAGGAGTGCGCGAAGTGAAGGAGAGTACAGCCATCGCAGTTCGGTGGCGATTTCGGTGAAACTGAAATGTGAGGCATTCTTTTAATCTTAAAATAAAGTTGACTTTTAATGAAAAATAAATAAAAACAGACTTTATTATTGATTTTTTTATTTATTAAAATTGTTAAAATATTTCATGCATCATTTATCCGTTTAATACCTTTGCAAAAAATATTTGTCCTCTTAAATATGTTATTTCACTATCATAAAAAAATGAAACTCACATCTTTATTTTTTTGTCCATTCTCTTCTCATAATTTATCTCTTTCTCTCACTTAAAATGATATAATTTTATATCTTTTAAAATGATACACACTTTTTCCTGAAAATTTATATAAAAAATTTTCATAATTGGAAAATGAACAAACTTGGACTTAAATTAACAAAATTGAATGCTATATGTTAATCAAAATTTGGGTTTGGTGTTTGTCATTTTAAGTTATGTCATTTTAGGAGAGAGATAGACACAGAAAAATGAAAATCATAGAACAGAGAAAGTTGGTGATTTTTTTAATTTAAAATTTGAATAATTTTTTTTTTCTGTTTCTTTCTTAAAATGACATAACTTTATGTCATTTAAAATGACAAATATTTTTTCATAAAATTTAGAAAATAAAAAAATTGTTATTAAAATGCAATAATAAGATTGGCCAAAAACTTTATGAAAAACATTACATAGTATAGATTATGAATGAAATGTAAGAGGAAATTTTTGAAAAAAAATGAAATCAAATTTATTACATGTCCCTATAATATTATATTTGTCAACGAAAACATAGAAGTTAATTATTTAAATACATATTCAATATATATTATACTACGAACAATCTTGAACTATAATTATCAAAAACACTATGGCATTGTTATGAAATGAAATAGCGAGCAAATTTATGAATAACATCAATAACATATATTATGAGTGAAAAGTAAAAGAATAAATTTAGAAGAAAAAATAAAAATAAATTCACATTTATTGTAAGATATAGTATTATTGCTAGCTTTTCTATTTCGTAGGTTTAGCAATATGGATTTTTTTGAACGATTGACCAAACTAAAATTATTGAAAAGATAAAAAAATAAGATTATCCAATTGGAACACTATAAGAAAAGTGACGTTTAAGCTGAAATCGTCATTGAATGATATTATGCGTCATCAAAATGTTGGCTCATTTGTAATTCAACTATAGTTTTCGAGGGCGGTTGTACGCAACCGCCTCTATATACATGCACTAGAGTTGATTATTTATTTGTACATTATAATTAATGGGATATCATTTTGGCCTAAATTTAATGAAAATGTAATTATTTAATTGTTTTTTTAACTACTCAAAAAATCTCTTGTTATTTAATCCTATTAGGATAAGATTTTGACATTCACTTCCCCTAAATTTCTTTGTGCAAGCATGCATAATTAATTGTGCATGTGATTTATGTGTAACTGTCACGTGATAATTTTGCACCAAGTACATGTGCAACCATCTTTTTTCGCTCTTTTTATGTATAAATCGATACATGTGATTTGATTGATGGAAATTTTCTATTTTTAATTTTATTTTATTAAATTTTTGTATCAATTTTCTATAATGATTGGTTTCCATTTAAATATTAGTGTTTGGTTTAGGTTCATACCTTCCTTGCCTATAATGCCTACTAGTCTACTATTGCTACTACAAGATTGCTATTCTGCTACTAGTTAGATGCATATTGCCTGTTGGCCCAAGGCATTGTGCAAATGTCAATAAAAACTAAAATAACGTCGCTTACATAGCTCATCTATAAGGTGTGATTGATGTTAACACTATGTTTTATGAATTCAATTCCCAACACACTAGATTAACCACTATGCATCGTCATTCAGTGACTTTGGAGTATCATGCATCGTCTTTTTAGTAGATATAATTGTAGCAAGTATATGTTCATGTACCTATTGTGCAAATAGTTGTGCCTATGGTACATGTGCAACTTATGGTACCTTGTCATAAAGAACTGTAACAGTGCAATTGGTTGCTTTGTATTATTCAAGGCTGTGTTTAAATACACAGTGAGTTACAACAGAAAGATGAGCTAAACATGTACAGTTGTGATATGATAAGATCACACTTAAATAGCAAACTGTTACAACATAAAAACTACCTAGATTCAAATAGCAAACTGTTACAACATAATAACTACCTAGATTCAAATACAAGCAGATAATAACCTTATCCTAACACTCCCCCTCAAGTTGGAGTATGTAAGTGACTAATACCCAACTTGCCAAGTAGATAACAAAATTGCTTCTTCCCTAAGGCCTTTGTAAGAATATCAGCGGGCTGCTGGTCGGAACGGATGTAAGCAGTGGAGATTGTCTTTGTCATAAGGTGATCACGTACGAAGTGGCAATCCAACTCAATGTGTTTGGTACGTTCGTGAAAAACCGGGTTAGATGCTATATGCAGAGCTGCTTTGTTGTCACAATAAAGAAGCATAGGTTGAGAATGATGAACACCAAGTGAAGCCAAAAAGGCACGTAACCATAACAATTCAGATGTCGTGGCAGCCATGGATCGATACTCTGCTTCGGCAGATGAGCGGGACACAGTATGTTGTTTGCGAGTCTTCCAAGAGATAGGAGATGAGCCAAGGGTTACAAAGTAACCCGTAATAGAACGACGAGTGATAGGGCAGCTTGCCCAGTCGGCATCACAGTAGGCACTTAGTTGTAAATTACAATCAGATTTTAGTAAAAGACCTTGTCCCGGATTAGCTTTGAGGTATCGAAGAACTCGAATGACCGCCTCATAGTGTTGGACCTTAGGTTGCTGCATAAATTGGGACAAAATATGAACTGTGTAGGATAGTTCAGGTCGAGTGATTGTAAGATAAATCAAGCGGCCAACAAGGCGCCTGTAACGAGAAGGATCTTCGTAGTCAGGACCGGAAGACAAAGCAAGGCCATGATTTTGTTCAAGAGGAGAGTCTACAGGCTTACAACCAAGCATGCCACACCCATTTAAAATGTCAAGTGTAAATTTACGTTGGCTAAGAAATAGACCAGCAGATCCTCGAGCGAACTCGATGCCCAAAAAATACTTAAGTTTACCGAGATCTTTTATTCGGAAGCAAGTATTGAGATATGATTTGATGCGAGCACACATTGTGGAACTGTTACCAGCCAGAAGAATATCATCTACGTAAACCAAGATTGCGGTAAATGTGTTACCATGAGTGTAGGTAAATAGTGTATAATCTGCCTTGGATTGAGTGAAGCCAAAAGACTCAAGGGAAGTACGAAGCTTAGCAAACCAGTTTCGTGGGGATTGCCGAAGACCATATAAAGATTTTTGCAGCTTGCAAACTTGTCCAAAGTGTCCCTTATTGAATCCTTGTGGAATGCGCATGTACACTTCTTCATTGAGGTCACCGTGTAAGAAAGCATTTTGGACATCAAGTTGGTGAATCTCCCATGCTTTAGCAACAGCAACAGCAAGAAAAGTCCTGACACTAACCATTTTTGCAACAGGGGCAAAGGTATCTAAGAAATCCTCTCCTGCAATTTGATTGTTACCGGCGATGACTAGCCTTGCTTTGTAGCGATCAATACTGCCGTCAGACTTATGCTTGATACGATACACCCATTTGCATGGGATTGCTCGTTTTCCTGGTGGAAGTGTAGTAAGAACCAATGTATTGTTGAGTTCAAGAGCATCGATTTCTTCTTTCATGGCCTTTTGCCAATGAGGATGACACATTGCTTCCTTAAAGCCACGAGGCTCAACAGTAGCACAAACAACACCTAGAAATTTGGTATGCTGCGAGGAAAATTTGGAGTAAGATAAATAATTAGCTAAGGGATAGGGAGTACCTGAGGACGTGACCGAGGGAGTAGCCTGAGATGGAGTAATATGTGTAAAAATGGAGTTGCAATCAAAATCTTGTAAATATGCAGGTGGGTGACGTGTCCGTTGAGGTCTTCCAGTGGCAGGGAGTGGCATATTTTGAACTGATGTGCTCCCCCTATCAGTGGTGCTCCCCCTATCAGTGGATTCTCCAGAAGAAGATGTCTGTGGAGATGAAAGCGGAGTCACGGTGTGTTTCTCAACAACATTTTGGCCAGAAGAGACATCATGAAGAGTAGGGATGTATGTAGGCAAAGCTGGCACACTGGATACAGGTGGAGCTGAATTGGCATCAGCAAATGGAAAAACATCCTCGTGAAAAAGTACATCCCTCGAATAAAAGAGTTCATTGGTACTGACATCATAAAGGCGCCACCCTTTCTTATGAGTTAGATATCCAAGAAACACACATTTTCGTGAACGTGAGGCAAATTTATCTGTTGAACGAGGTTGTCTGTTGGCATAACAAAGACAACCAAATGTACGAACATGATCATAAGATGGTACAGTCTTGAACAATAGTTCGTGTGGGGTTTTACCAGCAAGCAACTTTGAAGGAGTCAAGTTGATTAGGTGTGTAGCAGCCAAGATACACTCTCCCCAAAAATCCAGTGGAAGATGAGCCTCAAATCGCAAAGCACGAGCAACATTTAATACGTGTCTATGTTTCCTTTCTGCACGCCCATTTTGTTGGGGTGTGTATGAGCATGTAGTTTGATGAAGGATACCCTCAGCAGCCAAGAAGGATGTGAGCGATGTGGCCTGAAATTCACCGCCATTGTCTGAACGAATAATTTTGATGGTCTTAAGAAATTGAGTTTTCACCATTTTAATAAAATGGATGAGTAATTTACTGGATTCGTGCTTATCAGACATTAAGTAAACCCAAACAAATCGGCTATGGTCATCAATAATAGTAAGAAAATAATGTGCACCAGTAAGAGAAGACAGATGATAAGGGCCCCAAACGTCTATATGAATTAAATCAAAACAATGCGTAGAACGCTTATTATTAATCAGAAACAAACTACGGGTCTGTTTTGCTTTGCAACAAACATCACAAAACAGCCATTGACTTATTCTTGCCAACAGAAACAGAGAAGGATCATGTCTACCAATTCTTAATGGGCTTGGACACTGCCACTTATGG